CAGAAGCGTGCTGGCTTGAGTTTTTGCTGTCCTCCCCAATTTGCTGTTATCTGGGGTAGGCTGGGATGCAGGGGCGGTACAGTCTAGTCTCTAGCCTCTGTGTCAGTTAGTTCATAAATTAGGCTGTACTTTCTGGTTGTCACTGAGTTGTGACCATTCTGCATCCGCCCATTGGGCCCCAAGCAGAGGCCTGATCTAGCCCCAACAGCTCCTGCCAGTTCTCCCTGAATCAGAAGCAGCTGGGTAATGGCACAGGATTCTGCCCAGGTCCCAGCCGTTCTCTTCCAAACCTCTCTGTGATAGGAGCTCTAGAAAATCAGATCTGCCCAAAACCAAGATGGCTCCCACTAAGTTCTCCGTGCGGAGCTGAAGCCAGCAAGCAATCAGACTCTGCCAGGACTCAAGATGTCTTCCACCAGCCCTCCCTACAGGGGGTCCTGGTGATGTCACCAAGCTGCGGTTTCAGCCGCCAGGCTAATATGTCTGCACCAGATTCTGTGTTATTGATTTCCCCGTGGTGGCGGGCCAGCTGTTCTCTGGCCAAACCCAGCTGCCGCGGGGTTTTCTATACTCACCAGAGTCCGGTGCAAGTCCCAGCTCCGGGACCGCCACACACCAAGCCGTCCACTTTTCCCCACCTCGCGGCTCAGCGCTGACTGGTCAGATTTCTGTGCACCGTTTAGATTCGAAACGCCAGAGCTCTGTACATCTGCTCTGGTACAGTGGTGCAGAACTGGCTGCCGCCTGGAGTCTCGATCTGGGTCTCAGTTTCCGCAGTCCCCAAAAGCAACTCAGCTTTTCGTGTTGGGTCCAGGAGTCTGTTCGTTGATTTAAGGGCGCGGGATTTGCAGCCTCCGGTCTCAGCACGACTTTAAATCCTCCAGCTGTACTGTCTTGGTTGATAAGAATCGCTATGGATTTGTCTGGTCCTCTCCATGCTGTCTTTTTTTTTTTTTTTTTTAGCTTTGAGTTTGAATTCTCTGGAGAGATTCTTCGCTCGATCCCCTAGCATGCCGCCATTTTCTCTCCTCTCCCCGTATGTCAAATTCTTTATCCATATTTGAGAAGCTTCCTGACATTAATTCTGTGAAGAGTTTTTTAGTCATTTGCACTATTTTCAGGTTTCTCAGTGACTACAGTCACTCTTCTGTTGTTCTTCTTTGCCTAATTATGTAGCTGTTGGGTTAAATTTTAATGACTCCATGTTGTTTTTAAGATACCTTCCTTTTCAAGGTTTCTAACCACAGTCATCTTCTAGATCTGATATTCTATCCTTGCCTTTGTTCAATCTGTTGTGAATACTTTCAGTGAAGTTTTTAATCTTCTGGATATCTGTTTGAATGTGTTTCCTAGATTTAATTTCTTTCCTATGTTGGGCATTTATGGTTTTCATCATTTTCTTAAGCTCCTCTATTTTTTTTAAAATTGTGTCTGCTCTAATGTCTTTCCTTTTGATCATTGTGGTTTTTTTTCCTGGAAGATTTTTTCTATCACCTCATCCATTTGTTTTTGTTTGTTTTTACTTCTGCTGCTATCATTTCTGATTGGTTCAATTGATGGCTTCTGATTTACTCTATCTCATTGTGCTCTGAACTTCTCCAGAGTGGTGTGAAAGACTGGGGTTGCATTTTACTCTTGAATCTGTCATTTTCTATTTTTCATTTAATTTTTTCTTTTTTGATTCTTGTGGATTTCTTATGGTAGACAGCTTCATCACTATTATAGAAGGTTCTCTAGGAAATGTTTATTCCTCAGAGATGTCTTCTAGGTGTAAGTGGTTCTTGATCAAAAGAACCACCTTTTTTTTTGTCTGTCTCAAGAACTTACCTTTCCAATTGATTAAAGATGAGACACTGCTATATTTTGTTCAGCACCCAGTCCTTTGGTACTAGACTCTGACGATAATTATGACCTCAGACAATCACAGTGTTGTCATACAAGGCAAAAAACTGATTATAACAGGTACGACTTCCTGGCTAAAGCAGTATCATTAGCAATAACAACAGCATCAAGCCTAGTCTTGCAACTGCCAAACAATGGGAACTATTAATGTGGTATCTTTAACCATAGTAGTACGTTCTGTTGTTACATAACAGAATCCAACATATACTAGTGTTTCTCCTTAGTAAAATGATTTTACCCAGTACATATGGAGTGCGTAAGAGATACAGGGGACAAGATAGAGGAATGAGTATGGACAGATATAATACAGGCCAGACCAAAGGGTAACAGATGATCACTTAAATTTTGAGAAACTGTTGAAGAGCACAGGAGAGAAACAGTGAAAACGAAAGCAAAAGAATATTGAAGTGAAACGGAAAGAGACAAAGACAGTGTTCACTCACATGAAAATGTCATAAAAAGAAAGAGAGATAGTTGAGGAAAGAAAAACAGGACAAATAGAAGAAAACAAGGTAAGAAACCTAAATAGTCAAACAGCAACCAATAAAACTTAACAAGGAAGAAAAAGGAAAACCAATCAAACAAGAAAAATAAAAATAATGAAATCCCTCTGGTGTCCACAGTTTTGTGGTGATATCCCAGTTGGATCCCAGAAACATGCCTTACAATCCCAACAAATTTGCCGTAGGAGCTGTGCTGTGTAGGGGGCTGATCTTGGCCTCTTGTTGTCTGGGCTGGGTCTGGTTTTAAGCTGACAGTGTTCTGGATGTCCACTTCTCCTTACTGTGATTGTCTCTACAGCTCTCTACAAGTTGTTATGGCACCCTCAGGTGGGGAAAACCTCAGGTTGCTCCCAGACCTGTGTACACTTGGCTCTTTCTGGACCTTGCACAGCTTCCTCTGTTTCACATCACCGACTTCTCTCACAAACTGGTCTTTGGGCAGGAGGAGTGCCCTTGTCCACTGCAGGCCAAGGCTGTCTGCCTGCTCATGCTGCTGGACTAAGGCCACTGCTAGCCCCAGACCAGGGGGGAAGCTTCCAGTCCTTTGTGTTTAGGGCTAAGATTGGCTTTTGGTGGTCACTAGAGCAGGGTCCAGGTGGTCCCACCTCCTACCTCTCCACAGAATTTCCCTCAGTGTGCTTCCCAGCTGCTGGCAGTGTACTATGACTCAATGGCTCTTCTCTCATTGAAATACATGACATTGGCAGGATGTTCAGCTATGGGAGTTTAAGGGACAAGAAGATTTTTATTTGCAATGCAAATAGTATTCTTTACACACAATCCCATGGAGTTTACCTCTCTCTCAGAAATAGAGGAAACCCAGTAACAATGAACAAGCTATGCTCAGAATCTTGGAATGGCATGAATAGGATGCCTTCCTTTAGAATTAGACCTGCCTCCTGGGAGTTGCAGCTTTGTCATCCATGGGTTAGACAAGTTACTTCCTTTCTCATAGCTTTAGTGTTTTTCCTCTATCTAGATTATTTCCCGTAACCTGTCTTACTACAGACATTTGCAGGAATAGCAATCCAGAAGGTAATGTGATATAATATTGCTATGCTATACTATAATATATACAATTAATGTAATTATTACATGTAAAACTAATACTTACTGAGTGCTTGCTATATCTGAGACATGGTGCCTTGTTTACCAAATTATTTTATTCATAAATATCACTCACCAAGGATAAGGTCTGATCGGAAACAGACACTGATCATTAGTTATCATAAGCATCAGTCTTTCTAACTCCAAAGAATAACAGTCCTTTGTTGGTGCAGTGATCTAGGTTCTGATTTTTCCCAGGAAGTTATCTCTCAAGCTTGAATCAAGTGACTCGATACTTTCTCTTTCCATAGCCAGTCTTGAACTTAAGGGACCAACTCTGATAAAGAAATGACCTTTGTAGGTTGCCTGACCCCTGCACCTGCCCTCGCTAGTATAACTGAAATCTGAGACGTGCAGCATATTTAGGGCAAGGAGGGCCATGTTTCTTTCACTTGAATGCAGTATCAGGGTTATAATTCACCTCTGCAAACATTAAGCTTCTATTATTTTCCCAAGTTTAGTGGCTCGTGAGCAACCAAACCAAGATAAAATGAGTTATTTTAGGCCATGTATGGTGATACACACTTGTAACTCCAGCACTTGGGAGGCTGAGGCAGGAGGTGAGGCAGGAGGTTTGCCGTGAGTTTGAGGCCAGGCTGGGCTGCAAAGTGAGTTTAAGGCCAGCCTGAACTATGTAGCAAAAGCCTATCTCAAAAAGACAGAAAAGCAAAACAAAAAACAACTGAAGCTATTTCACTCTGACTCTACCGCTGTTTACTTCCATTTTTTCCTGGAACCTTGGAATGGCCCAGCACCAATCTGATATCTACCTGCATCCTTCAGACTAAACCCAGAACTGATGTGTCAGGAAGATGGGGTGCAGGGTCTGTAGTGACAATTAGCTAGGTCTGTCTTGCATCATGTGACCAGAATCTAGTCTTCTGGTGGGTGAAAATAGCATTTAAATAGCATTTTAATGGGTTTTAAGAATCTTGTCTTTAATCATATTCTACTTCATAAAAATTGACTTGGAGTTAAAATTCATTGAGTCATTTGCTCCCTGTCATACTTTGTACTGAGCACTAAAAATAAGGTAAAACCCCCCCAAAAGCAGAGCTTTTCCAGGGTTCAAGTTTCCTAATTCTTAATTTAATGACATTAGAAAGAGTTGCATTCTAGTGGCATGTGACTTTTAATATATTTTTGCTTGTTGACATTTCATATGGTAATTTTGAAAATTATTAGCACCTGAGAAGTATTCCATTCCAACACAGAGTTCAATTGCATTATCGCACTCTGTGTGTGTGATTTTTGTACTGAGAAGGAAACTCAGGACCTTTTTCCTGTTGTGCAGGTCTTTATGCTGCTGAGCTATATTCCTGGCTCCTCCAGTGTAAATAATTTATATAAGGTTTAAATAATTTTTCAGAAATTTTAAACTAATCATGCAATATGGTCTATATACTACACTTACTTGCAATTGTGATCCTAAAAGCCTGAAAATATAATAGGCATTTGATATAATTATTTTTTATTGTTTCTTTCCAGGTTTCCTCAGTTTCACCCTTTTATGTGTACAGCTGATTTTCAAAAGATTGCTTCCAGTTATGGTAGCAATAAGTTGTATTTACCCTATGGGATAAGAGCATCAGGTCAGTAGTACTATTCTTACCCTGCCTTGTTAAATTTGAGCGGCATTTGATGAAAAGCATGTTTACATAGTTCTAAAGCATTTTAATCTTCCTCCTTCCTAAAATCTTAAGAGGTGACAAGCCTATATTGCTGTGAATTAGATTTTAGTTTTTCAACTAATCTTGGGTTTTTTGTTTTGTTTTTAGTTTGTATTATTAAAATATTTTGCAGAGGGTTTGACAGTCTAAATACTTAAATTTACTGTTGACTTCTATTACAATGTCAATTTCAGAATTATCTGATACTGCCAGTTTTTCTATTTTTATAATTGGTTTCAGATTAAGCATTTTATTTCAGGGTTTTTGAGAGGTATCTTGAAAATTTACCATTTTGAATGTGCCTATTTAGTGGTGTGGGCTAATTGCAATTGCGTTATTAACTTTTCGCAGATTAAATCAAATGTGTATAAGTGCTGCCGAAGTGAGAAAAAATCAAATTTGGCAACACCAACTGGAAATACATTTGTGGAGGAGGAAGCAAGGTGATTTACTATGAATCTTAGAAGCCATGGTTATCTTTTATTTACAATTTTCCATTTATTTTCTAGAGGAATATTTTCAACTTGCTCTTTCAAAACTTCAGAGTTGTGATCTCTTTGATGAGTTTGACAAGTGAGTTTGTTTTCTTCTCTCTGACTTTAAGTTTTAGCTAAGATGATACAAAATATGTGCCACAAGATATAAACTATATTTACTCATGAAAATTCCATAGCACTTTTACAGAAGTAAAACTTGTACAATAGCTATTTTTGTTCTTGTTTCACTTGATATAAACTACAAAATTAATTTAGAAACCACATAACTGGTCAACTCAAAATTCTCCAGTTTTGCTGATGAACAGTTCTAGTCAAGCCATGTTAAACCCATGCATCTTTCTAAGTTGTTTCCACTAGAACTAATCCATACCCACTGTTAATTAGCAAGCTTCTCCTGTCATGGGCTGTTCCCATAGGTTCCCATGTGTCTTCCAGTCTACTCCTGAAGAGCCTCTGTTTCATTTGTTAATGAGGTTGGATTTTTAAAGCAACTCTATTCCTTCTTATTCAGAATTATATTTTTAAAAAGTCAAGCATTTTGCTTAGTTATTAATTTTCTAACTACAAAAATTTTACCAAGATGGTCCATAGAAACTTAATCACCAAAGATATAAGTCTTGAGAGGTAGGCTTCTTTTACAGAGGTAAGTACAAAATTTTAAGTTTCACTTTAACACTTGACCATTGGATCTGTATGAGCATGCTGGTGATCTATAGATGTGATCTACTAAAAAAAAAAGTAAGTTATAGAATTTTGCTTCTCTCTCAGGAGAAGAGAGGTGCTGATTGGTGGATGCAGGTGTGTGTAGTGGACAGAGAAAAAAAGTGGAGAATAGAGCTCAAGGACAAGTATTAGAGTTTATTTGGGTCTATCTAACATAGATTTTGACTATTAGGCCCTAAGATTAATGAGGGGTAGATTTTGTAATGTAGGTTGGTTTATTTTAGATTGTTTTAATTTCTAATTTCATTTTGCAATTTTGACTGTATTATGAGCAAATATGTGTGTGTGTGTGTGTGTGTGTTTACATAGCTCCATTTTGTAGAGCTTTATTTCATGTAAACCTTCAGCATATGTGCTTTAGATCAATTCTAATTTTGTAAATAGAGAAACCAAGTCTAGGTAAACATACACAGTTTTTTATAGCTTGTAAATGCCAGGGATAGCATGTAACCCTTGGTAGGTCTAACTCCCGTGCCCAGATGTCTAACTCCAGGGCAAGAGTTATCATTGAGAAAAGCTATTCATTAAATATTTGTAGCAAGTACCTACAAGTAGTTTGTAAGGATCACTAATGCTGTAAGTGTGAGCTCCTGTCAGCTTCTTTAGGGCATGTGACTTGAAGTTTCCTTTTTGCCTAGTTTTATGTGAGAACTAGTCTGTGTTATATTTAGTAGCTTTCATAACCTTCCTCCTGCTTTGTGTGCCTTGGCCAGGCTGTTTCCTCCCTTCTTGCCAACTACGTGTAGCTGTTCTGTCCCTTTGCCCTGTTGCCAATGAGATTGCCTCCACTTTCTATGCCAGCCTGTGTCTATTTTTCAGCTCAAATTTTATCCCTATGTGTTCTTCCTCCATCTAAGCATTACTGGGGAGGCTCAGACATTTTTGGGTTTTTTCCAAATATGAATTCTTTAAGACTGTACCAGATTGAGGCAAGTACCAGTTTTGTTCAGCTATCTTGAACAGTATGCATGGTGCCCTCGGGATAGATTCTACTGTAAACAGGAAAACATGAATTACCAGTTGTATTTACAAGGTATAAGTCTTCCTCTTTCGCATAGTTTTCATATGAACCTGAAGTCTGCAGATAAACAGTGCAGTGCTAGCTCAGCAGTTTTGTGGTCCTCAGAGGCCCAGGCTTATTTTTGGTTATGACTGTGTCATTCCACTGAGTATGGCTTCCTCCTGACTGTCAGCATGATAACTAGGTTTCCTGCCAGCAGGGAGGAGCAAGGGAGCAAAGCCCCAACCTTTGAGGCTTTCCTTCCCACTTAAGGTCATCTTCCAGGAATCATGACACTGTTACATCTAGTGATGTGCTGCAGCAAGTTGGTATCAAAAATTTTTTGGTTTTTTACTTATATTATTTTTATTTTTTGAGATGGGGTCTTTCTGTGTAGTCCCTGCTAATCCTGAAATCACTATGTAGTCCAGGCTGGCCTCAAACTCATGGCAATTCTTGTGTCTCACCCTCCTGAGTGCCTCCTGTGTGCACCACCATACCTGGCTTGGTATCAGCTTATGAGAGGTACACTTCTTCCCAGTTCCATAGTCAGTACCCTCACGGGGGAAGCTCAAAATCAACCAAGGAGTGAGAATTTATACCACTGGATTTGGCTAACTCTATGAACTAGTGCTTCTCCCATTCTGCCTACGCTGACCAGAAATAGTTGCTTAAATACATATCACGACTACTCATGATATCCCATTGGGTAGAACTCCATCACAAAATCATACCTAGCTGGAAGTTGAGTGGGAAAATATTCTCTTTAGTTCAGGTGACTGTGTGCCCATCTTTGAAAACAGTGAGTCCTATTTCAAAGGACAAAGGAAACATGACTTAAGGGACAACAAGCTATTTATGTCTGTATTCTCCATTTATTTCTCTGGCCCCCATTTGTTTCTGTGCTACTCTGAGAATTATGAATTCAATTAAGTGACTGTTCTGTAACAATGGAGGTTAATGCATCTCTTCTCTATGCTGCAGCTGTTGATTTATCATAGATTTGGGTTCCTCTTTTTATTCTTCAGAGCATGCTGATACAAGGTTACAATGTTGATTAAAGATTGAGGATATTTAAAAGTAATTGCAATACAGAAAAAGAGCATTTGAAATATGTTCCTATTCCAAAGTCCTGAGCCTTCCTGGCTATCCACATGCTCCCTAGCACCAGCCAGCTCCCTGGTCCCAGGAATGGTGCTCTTTCCAACAGGAATACAGCCTCCTCCAGCCAGAATAGCAGAAACTCGGAAGCACAAAATCTGAGCCCTCACGACCCTTAACCACCAGCATGGCATTATGAAAGTGTGCCAGATTTCTTAAATAATGCACCTGCCCCACCACATAAATAATTATACAGTATCCACACGTAAATGTCTTGCCTAAAGGAAACACCTGTGTCAAGTCAGTTGCAGGATCCATTATGTCAGCATCCAAACTGGATTAGTTTGGTTACCAGCCAAGCAAAGAGCATGCCCTTAGAAAATTATAAAAAGAATTAGACATTAACAGCTGTTTGTTACAAAGAGTCCTAAATTTTTTTTATTAAGAGTATCAGTGCCTATATTCCTGTCACCAAGCTGTTTTTAAAGGTTTTTAATTTGTAGAGGAAATTGAGGATAAGGGGAAGCTGTGGGCACATAATTGAGTCATACGTGGTGGAAGTCCAGGTGCAGCACTACCTGTTTTCTACCATCTGTTGTCACATGTGAGCTAAAGAGACAGAAATTACGCTACACATGTGTTGGAAATGGTCATATCCAATGGAATAACAATATTAAGGACACCAGTGATTTCCTAACTTCATGAAAGGGAAAACTTCGGTCAGATTACTGGGCTGTCTTGCCAGAGCTGCTGAAGAAGGAGAACCAGAACAAGTAGTCAGGTCTGTACCCATAATCTCTTGCAGAGTATTTTAGTTTCTTATGCCTGCAAATAATAGTTTCCTGATTAAGTTACTTGCTATTGCCTAGATTGCATAAGTATGTGGCTTTAGCTCCCAGCTAAGAATACCAGAATGTGCTCTTTGTGGCTGTTCTGTGGTTGGCCTAATCCAAGGGAGTGCTGATGCACACAGTTATCTCAGTGATATGTCCGGTATTTGGACTGTGTACCACCCACCCATCTGTATGTTTGTATAATTGAATTAGTGACTACATGATATTAGGGATTGAGGGTAATTTTTCTAACTCTTTTTTCACTCTGAATTGCAAGATGGCTGCAGCTGCTCTAAATTCATCTTCTAAGCAGAAATGGACAAAAAAATTGCAAGAAATATAGTTCAGTATGTGAAGAATGTGGGTTCAATTTCTAGTAACAAAGTATGTGCGCACACACATGCACATGTGTGCACATACACCCAGAGCCAGTAGTAACAACTAGAAGACAGATGGATGACAACCACACTTGCTAAGGGTCTATATTTTGCAATTCATGATTCCTGGCAACAGAAAGACTACCTTTGTGTCCCACTTTAAAGCTCTTTGCTAGGAAAGTGGAATGCATTTTTAGTTTTTTGTTTTGTTTTTGTTTTTTTTATTTAAGCTTCAAGGACTAGTCTGGACTACTGACTGTTTAGAAATGTTGAAGTGAGGATGGAGGAGGTGTGCAGAAACTGTCCATTTCCACACTTAGGAGATAAAACAGAAAGACACGTTGGGAGGGTATGAGAGGAATGGGTAACCTGCTGGCAAAGTATCCTTGTATGTAACATAAAACACACTTGTATTTATCAGCATACAGAATCATGGGATAAAGGGTGTGGGTTTTGTTTTGTTTGGTTTGGTTTTAGAATTTTTTGTAATCTAAAAGTTTGGATCCAAATGCTAGTTTCATGTCTTTGGAGTATGACTTTAAAATGTTATATAATATTTTTCTGAATTGATTTCATCTGTATGTGATAATAACAAGCTTATCTTAATAGAGGATTATAAAAATTAAAAGGCCGAACGTATGTGGGTGGCTGAGTTGATAATGTCTTGTATATTTTTAATACATACCTAGATCTGTAAGCTATAATTAACTTTTTCTTCTTGTACAACAAGTGAAATTTGAAATAGAAATTTCAAATTTGAAATAGAAATAGAAATCCAGAAAGTAAGAACAGATTCTTAGAATCATCCTATTTTGTAAAAAGATTGCTTAATCTCTCTCTCTTGTCTATTCGCCCAACAGTGAACCATGTAAAAGGTGTGTGGTGGTTGGTAATGGAGGAATTTTGAAGAACAAGACATTAGGAGAAAAAATTGACTCTTATGATGTAATAATAAGGTAAATATCTTTCTATTGGTTTGAAAAGTTTTTTTTTCCTTTTTTAGGACAGCTATGTCTTAAAAATTGCATCAATTTGTTTATATATTTGGTTACATAAGCCCTCTCTTGTTGATGGCTAGGGATGAGGCCAAGACTTAGCAAATATTAGAGGCTCTTATTATGCCAGGCACATGTCTACCCACAGGACAACAGTGGATAAAACAAATTTCCTGCTTCCTGTGGACATTCTAACATTCTAATGAAGGGACAAAATGTAATTAAATATACAAGAAAATATAGCAGGTGCCACACAGAAAATTTTCTTAAAATGATAATGAATGAGTGATTATTTGGAACCACTTTAAAGAGTAGATTTTTAAGCTGAACCTAAGTGATCGTAGAGGATCAACAACATGGAGATTAGGCAGAGAATGCTTATTTCATGTCCTCAGGAGGATATATGATCCTGAGTTTGAAAGAAGCAGCAAAATCCCAGTAGGGCTAGAGGACAGCACGGTAGGGTAAGAGTTGCATACCTGAGAGCTGAGTTAGGTGAGGAGCAGGCTATGTGGGAATTTGTAAGCTAGGATTAATTAGAGTCTTAGGTTTTAAGTACAAGACACTTTAAAAAGTTTTGAAACAGAGAGTAAGTAATGCAGTCTGCCTAGTTTTTAAAAATATTCTGGCTTCAGCATAGACAATGGAATGTGAAAGTTAACTAAGATGCAAATGAAGCGTCATTTTAAATTCATATAGCTTGGGACAGGATTGTCATGGGAAACAGATAGGTAAGTGGACAGACTAGAGACATATTATAGACCTTAAGTTGTCAGAATTTGTCATTTTACTAGGTATGAGGAATAATCAGAATAAAAGAACCGGGCTGGGGATTTAGCTCAGTGGCATAAGCGCTGCCTTGCAAATTCATGGTCATGAATTCGATCCCTGGTACCAATAAAAAAAAAAAAAGAATAAAAGAACCAGCGAGGCCTTTCACTATGTTATTAGCTTGCGATTGACCAGAGAATGGGGTAATTAATTTATTAAGCTGGGGAACACTGGTATAGGAGTATGTTAAGAGAAAAAGTGAGATTTCTATATTAGTATTTTAGATTTGAGGTGCTATGTAATGGATAAGTTAAGTGGGCAGTTGAGCAGCCTGTGAGATATATATATATATATATATATATATATATATATATATATATATATATTTCAACCATGGATCTGGAAAGATTAGCAAGGGAGAGACAGAGTGACAGGAGGGCCCAGGACAGAGGTTTGGAGCTGAACACTTAGAAGTTGACCAAAGGAAACAGAGTGAGCAAAATTCGGGAGAAGGTGAATCATTCAAGTCAAGATAGCAAAGTGTTCCAAGACAGAGAAAAAAATTAACTGGGTCCCAAATGGTAATGAGAAGTCATGGAAGTCAAGGATAGGAAGAAGACACTGGGTTGTTAGTATAAAGCCACTGTCACTCTGAACAAAGCAGGCTTTAGGTGACCTGTGACACGAGTGAAAGAGAAAGTAAGAAAGGATAGGAAATGGAGGAGGTGGAAACACTAGTCAACTCTTTGGAGAAATTTAGCTCAGAAGAGGAGTTAAATAATGAGCAGGTAGTTGGAAATGATTATGTAAAGAAGGAAGGATTTCTTTGTTCTACACAGAGAGGAGATGCTAAACCATATTGTTAAACTGTGAAAATGAATAGAGAGATTGGTATGATAGAGAGAAAGCTGGAGTCACAGTGTAGTTTTTTGTTTATTTTCTGGTAGTGGGAATTGAATGGCTTTCACACCGAATCACATTTCAGACCTTTCTTTGCTTTTCATTTTGCAAAAGGGTCTTACTAAGTTATTGAGTTGCCCAGCTTGGGATGAAATTTGCCAACCTCCTGTTTCAGCTTCCCAGCATACTGGGATTACATACTCTGCTACCAAGCCCAGCAGGGGTGATTGATATTTTGTAATGAAAAGAAGACCCCAGATTGTGGTTACCACTTCTTTACAGTATTCCTTTAGATGTAGTAGTGGGAAAACAAGAATGTTTCCGTTTTCTCAATGAAAGATTTAGGTAAGGTCATCATTAGATCTAAGTGTGATACGCTTAAAAATAAGCTTTTGTGGGAATGCTTTCACACTGGAGCAACATATTCAGATGATCTGGCAGTGTTGGCAGGTTTTGCTGGGCTACAAACTGGTTTCTGCATAGCACGGTCACCTTATTTCCTATTATCCATTTTGAGGAAACTATGATATTATAAAATTACAAAATATATTTGAAGCATTCACAAAGTTGTATATCTGTAAATGTCTAAATCTGATCATCTAGAGCATCAATGAAACTTCTAGAACTTTCAGTGATAACAAACAGACTGCTGCAGCACACGCGCCACAGGTTTCCCACCTCAGATTTAGAGCCTTGGTAGGAAAACACTACTGGAATGTTTTGAAAGTCATTTCGAATGTTAAGACTGTCTTGTATTACACAAGGTCAGTGACAAAGGGTAAAACAGTATTTTATCCTCCTAGGGGACACTGTTTTAGAAACAAAGTATTGCTTTTTTTACAGCATGACTTTATAGCATGTGCATAAATAGTGTGTGTCTAACCATGGCTCTGAGAATACACAGAGCTAAACAGTAGGCTGTGGTTCTTTGATTCCCTCTAGCAATAGATATTCATCTAGTTGTGCTCAAATGAAATACAGCAGTTTTATATGAATACTTCATTTCAGAGCACAATTTTGGTAAGTCTTTAGGTCCAACCTAAATGGTTCTTCTTGCCTGTCACTTTGATACATGTCCATGTGCTACAGGATTGTGTAACTATGGGCAAATAACTATCTTTTTGACATCATACTTCTTAACTGCAAATTAAAGGCTTGTGTGGTTGTCCTGCCAGGTCTCTTTTAACTCTGGTATTCTGTGGTTGCATTCCCATCTCTTTTATTTAGTTGTCACTTGCCCTAGAAGTGAGACTGAATTATTATTGCCTCCTTATATTAGTTTTCTGATACAAATTAATGTTTCTCCTTTGATCAAACAGCAATTTCATGAAAAGGAAATACTTCATTCACCATTATGTCTAAGAGGTTGGTCTATTGCCATGTGGCTTCAGAATACAGAATAAATGGCTGTTTATCCAATTCTGAAACCACTGAAAACGTTAATGGAAATGGCTCATGCTTCAGTTGGTCTACATATCTTGCATGTTTTACTACCCACAGAATGAATAATGGTCCTGTTTTAGGACATGAAGAGGAAGTTGGGAGAAGGACAACCTTCCGACTTTTTTATCCAGAATCTGTTTTTTCAGATCCCAGTCACAGTGATCCTAATGCTACAGCGATACTCACTGTTTTTAAGCCACTTGACTTAAAGTGGCTGGAGGAATTGTTAACTGGTGGCAAAATAGTAAGTTGGCAAAATTGATCTGCCTTTAGCTTACCTTCAGTATTTTTCCCCTTAAAACCCAAAAGACAACCATAACTTTTTGTATTCTTTATTTCAGAACACTAATGGTTTTTGGAAGAAACCAGCCTTAAACTTGATCTATAAACCTCATCAAATCAGAATATTAGATCCTTTCATTATCAGGACAGCAGCTTATGATCTGCTTCATTTTCCAAAAGTGTTTCCCAAAAATCAAGTATGTATGTGTCTTGGCATGGTTTCAAACTAAAGATCTGGCTGAGGTAGGAGAGAGGGCCCTAGGAACTTTCAAAAACTATACAAATCATGGCTTATAAGGTAGTATCTGAGGGCTACACTCAAAATTAGATGTGGCTATCTTTGTGTTTTTCATGTTGCAAGGAAAATAATCTAAAGTAGAGGGATTTTTGCCCTTGCACAGCCTTCATGGGATCTCTTTCTGCATGTCCAAGAGACTTATCCTTATAAGTTCATCTTGAAGGTTATGCAAGAAAAGTCTACGTGAGCTGGTGGGCAGGTTTGTTTTCAGAGTGGCAGAACTGGCTTCAGGACATGTACATAGCTTTTAGGCTAAGGAGAATTGTCTGTGACACTCAGTATTAGGAAGCTTCATGTTACCACCATTAAATACTGAGGACAGGCTCCTTAATAAGAAAAATTTCTTTAACTCCAGTTTTGGAAATTAAAGTCTAAGATTGAGTGGCTTCATGCTTTGGGCCTCTGGTCATGACAGCACATCATTATGCATGATACGGTGTATGCTCACATTTCCTGGAAACAGAGGAAGACAGCTGAGTCCCATAATCTGTTTTGAGGGTGCCACCTTGAGAACCCAGTTTTTACATACACAAGTTTAGGGGACAGTCCAAACAATAGCACATTCTGCTGAAAATATCACAAGAAAGCGAAAGAAAGTGGCAATAAGGTGGTCTAAAAACTTTAGACTTCTGTAGACATAAGTACCGGCATTAAATTCTCAAGAAGTGAGCAGAGATTAGAAAATGACATAGAGTCAAAGCAATTTGTTTCATTTTTTGTGTGCTGAAGGAACTGATTCAAGAGGAAAAATTTTATGACAAGGGGAGAAAGTGGAAAGTAGCAGTAAAGCTGTTGAGAAGAGAATGATGGTATGTATTAATTAGTGAAGGGACTGACCATAGGCACCAACAGGGATATCTCATCCATTAAGAGGAGGGAGCACTGTAAATATGGGTAAAGATGCTTGTACGATGGTAGTTTGGGAGTTGGAATGGCCATGGAAGCTCTTTTTTGACTGCTTTTTCACAGAAAAGTAAGGATTGAGTTGTCAATTTAAAGTAGTAAGACTAAGATTGTTACCGGATAGAAAGTCGTAAAATTTTCATGTTGGAGAGTAGGATCAGAAATTTGTTTGGCAAGTGTAATCTATTGCTAGACGTAATGAGTGCCTACTTGAGACTTTGGTCATACGTTTATCATTTGACCAGGCAGGCATATTTTTCTCTTAGTGTATTTTGCTGCTTAATGGTAGGTGCAGTATGTTTGGGAAATTAAAAGTTTCACCAGGTTTTAGGATCTGTCAGGTTATAAAGGCAGTTTCATGGGTGATGAGTGCACAGTTAAACATAAAAGGTTATTTTAACTATGGGCAGAGGACTCTGAGGGGTAAAGAGATGAAGGGCCTGAAAAAATGCAAGAGAAGGAAAAAGTGATAGAATCAGTGAGTTGAATGATCCCTAGGTGTTCAACCCGACCACTAACTTCTGTAGCAGATGGCAAGGGGTTTTGTGGGGTTGCAGTTCATGGGATAAAAGAAAGCTTATGGGGAAACTGAAGGTTGTTAGGCTCTTAGATAAGATTGCTACTTGGGGTTCACTTGATTTTATTGTGCTGTCCCTACCTTTAAAACTCATGTGTAATTTCATGTGTAATTTCCATGGAATCCTCAAATTGCCAAAAGCCTTAAAATATCTTTTGTCTTAGATGGTATCCCAGTGAAAATCAACACTTCTGCATGCCAAGAGGTTTTCAGGATGTATGAAAGGGCTAACGGGTTGCTTTTACCCCCTTTTTGAAAAAAATTGATGCAGCTGAAGTTGTAATATTTAGGTACCCCTCTAGAATCATTTTATAGTCAGGTATTTATTGAAATTTCGTATTTTTTCTAAAGCTAAATTATTAAGGAAAAGTTAGGTATTTCAAGGCTTATACAAAGCTTTCTTTTATAATAATAATGCTGTTACCAATCAGGCTAAGTAGTCCTACTATTTTATGCATCTCAAAATTCCCAGGCTTTGCTCTTTCATAAAGTGCCTGATTCATGTTTCTTGAAAACATTGCCACAGTATTCTCTTCCTTAAGTCTCCCTCCCTCTTTCTTTTGTTCTTGTACTGGGCTTTGAACCTAGGATCATGAACATTGCTTTTAATGGTTGTCTTCTAAACTAGTATTTTTAGCTAAGTTTTATTTGAAAAAAACTTTTTAAGATTTCATCTATAGATTGTATTTTTTTTCAGTGTCAGGTATATTGTTTGGAGCTTTGTGTCTTGGAGTATGGTTTAAATATTTTTCACTTGCTTCACTGTTCAGAAATCATTTTATAAAACTAGACCAATCAAATGTCTTGAAAACAAATAATTCACTTGGGTTTTAAAAAATTTTATTTCCCTTCTAGAAACCCAAACACCCAACAACAGGAATGATTGCCATCACACTGGCATTTCATATATGTCACGAAGTTCATTTAGCTGGTTTTAAATACAACCTTTCTGATCTTAAGAGTCCTTTGCATTACTATGGAAATGCCACCATGTCCTTGATGAATAAGGTAATTATGCATACCACTTAAGGTTACATACATTTACTTTGGTATAATCTTTAATCTTAATTGTCAGAAAGCCTTTTTTTTCTTCCCCTCTCCTTTAATTTAGGGAAAGTTTTGAAGCTTTGAGGGCTTCATTGGAGGTGTTAAAGAGCTACTGAGGGCTGAAACTAGGACCTGAGTCCAAGATCAAGTTACTGTATTTGCGGGCCTTAGAGCTTTGGGAAAGCTTTACAGTTATCAACTGTCATCACACTCACTTAAGGACCAAGTCTTTAGGACATCACATGTGCACCATTTTAATATAAAACACTTGAGCTTGCTGTTTTGTGATATGTAAATTCATGAAAAGCACTGCTATTCTTATAATTATTCTCATGTATTTTTTCAATTAAATAGACAAGATAATCTGGTATTAGCCAGCTGTGGCATGCGTGCCACAGATTTGACACCAGTGGTCTAGAACAAGGTAACCCCATAGAAGTTTTTGTCTCTGAAAGGTTTATAAACCTTCTGACTAGATCATGTTTCTCTTAAATAGAGATCAATGCTGGTAAATTTGATCCTGAGGATTTTAATTGAATGGGAGTTTCCTATATTTCTGATTATTAGATTACCAGTATACAAGTGATAGGACTTAAATGTTATCTGTATATTTTAATGTTAAAATATAAATGATTTGCTATAAAGTACATGACTACATTTCAGTAAATCAGTTCCTTTAATCCCAAAAGACTGCATAAACTGAGAAAGCGGTATAACCTTGGTTGGATTTTAATGCTGTCCTTTGTTCCTCCTACCTCCCTCCTCCTCCTCAATGTAAGACAAACACTTGAGTAGTTTAGAAAAAATTGGATGCCTTGAGAAGCCCTACTTTTTCCTGTAATGCTTGTAGTATTCCAAAAGCCACATAAAGAATAGAATATCAGAGGCCCCAAAAAAACACAGGGTGTCTAACAATAGAACAGAATTATTACTTGTATTTTTATGGTCCTGGGGTTCTTAAACCAAGGCCTTGCACGAGCTAGGCTAACACTCTACCATTGAGCTATATCTCTGAACCCAAAAGTTTCAAAACACATATCGTAAGCTAAACTATGCTTTACAGTAGTTTCTCATCCCTAGGTCAATTTATTTTTTAAAATGAGTTCCAAGAGCTTTTATGAAAATTCCATTTGGTCTTAAAACTTTGATCTTTAGATTTATACCATAATTCAAAATGCCTGAAGAAACCTTTTAAATGATAATTTAAGAGGATGTAGTAGGCTTCAGGGGAAGTTCTCACACAAGTCAGACATTAGGAAGGTAACAGCATTCATGTAACTTTTGAGCTTACTATGGAACGTTTTTTTTAGTATAAAACTTTTAAGGTGCAGAATATCTGTGGTAATATTCTGAGACAGACACAAATGGTAATCTTTTTTATTTTTCTTCTTTAGAATGCGTATCACAATGTGACTGCAGAGCAGCTCTTTTTGAAGGGCATTATAGAAAAAAACTTTGTAATCAACTTGACAGAAGATTGACTTTACAAACTCAGAAGATTATGCTAACAATATTCGTTTTATTTTTATACTGGAATTTTTAGTTTATTTTTAAATATGTTGGATGGACTTGTCAAATAATTATGTATATTAAATCTGTTGCTGCCTGGTGATTCATAACCACCAGCTTAATTTCTGTGAATATATTTATGAAAAACAAAAAAAGTTTAGGTATCAGGGAAATAAGTTGTGATTGCTTTGTGTTTTTTAAGTGTTTTAAGTATTTTTAAAACATCTTACAGTTATTTCATCTTAGAATTTTCAAAGAATGTGATTTCCTAAGCAGGAAGCGTTTACCACAATTTTGACTATGATGTTACATTTGGAGAAATATATTTTATTTAATGTAGACATAGCAGGTGGGAAGATGCCATATGATTATACCTTGATGTAGCAAACTGTAACCACTTGGCTGTGAAAGTAATACTGTTTTGTTTCCTCACTCTACAGTTAATTAAACCATGAATGTGATTAGTAATAATTCAGAAGGAGGAAGATAGTGTTTTTTGTGCTTTCTTTTTTAAGTTAAGGGAAATACACAAACCATACAATTCTAAATGAGTAAATAAATTCAATTATTAAAGTCTGTTCATTTGCATTATTTTTAAAAAATCAAAAACATAAATGGTTGTGGGATAATAGTGGCAAAAATCTACTGGACAGGCTGTTTGTTGATATGGACTTGTTAAGCAGGGATTCTGAATTTAATGTTGCAGCTCGTGGAATAAAGAAAGATGATAATACTTGGCTGGGTGGGAGAAGTATGAAAAGATGGCCCACTGTGAATGAGTTGAGATGCCTCCTATTCCATAGATTACCACTAATGAGGGCATTCAGAAGTTTAGAGAAATAGGAATGCTAGTATGGATTTACCATGTTAAACCTAATCCCCAACATGGGGATGACCCAGAAAATGCATCCTTTTCACTAAGACCTTAAGAAACAGATTTGTGAGGGGAGCACTGGCATCCTTGAAGAACCCTGTCATTGCTCTTCTTTGCATCGCAGACCTTACAATGGAGATTGCAGTTACTCAATTGGGAAATTTAAGGGCAGTAGATTTGATTGGATGTTGGAGTGTCAAAAGTGCCAGCACCTAATTGCTAAAGGCAGGATGCATGCACTTGCCCTAAGTCAGCAGAAGCAGAAAATTATCAGAATGGTCTGATGTGTAGACCTGTGGTACTGTTGGTGTTCCCAAAAATCAAATAGGAAGCCTACAAAATTTTTACTAGATTTATATAATTGAAAAAATTTAAGGGCAAATGAACAGAAACCTACTTCAAATTGTAATCCTAGCCCTAGCCCTAACCTGTATGTATAAATACCCCTCCCAAGGAAAAAGATGTTACTTCATTTGGCTTCCGGCCTATTTGGATTTTGGAAGCAACACATTCCTCACCTGGATGTTTAACTCTGGTCCATTCAGAAAGTGACTCACAAAGCAGCTAGTTTTGATTGGGGCCGAAAGTAACAAAGTGCTCTTCAATAGGTCCAGATTGTTACGCAGTCTGTTCTGCCACTGGGGCCATATGATCCAGCAGATCCAATGGTACTTGAAATGTCACTGGCAGAAGGATGATGTTTGGAGTTTCTGGCAGATCCCCATAGGTGAATTGCAGTGGAGACCTTTAGAATTTTGGAACAAGTAATGTTTAGACAAGTACTCTTGCTTTGTTTTTGTTTTTTTTGGAACTGGGAATTGAACTCAGGATCTTGCGCTTGCCAGGCAAGTGTCATGCTACTTAACTAAACCCTGGCCCCTACTCTTGCTTTGAAAAAGTTCCTAGCCTGCTACTGGGTCTTACTGTAAACTTAACAGTCGACTATGGAACACCAGGCTACCAAGTGTTCCATAACAGGTGACCTGCATTGCCTATCCTGAGCCTGAGTACTATCTAATCCACTGAGGCATAAGGTTGGATGTGCACAGGAACTGTCTACCATTAAATTGGAACAGTATATATGCGATTTAGTAAGAGCAGGTCCAGAAGGTACAAGGAGGTTACATGAAGTTGTCCAGATGCTCATGGCTTCTACTCCTGTAGTCCTGCCTTGTTCCCCAGCCTGCACCTATGTCCTCATGGAGTATACCATATGATCAGCTGTCACAGGAAGAGAAAGCTGGGCCTGATTTACAGATGGTTCTGCATGTCACGTGGACCACCAGCAAGTACACAACTGCAGCACTACAGCTCCTTTCTAAAACACCCAAAAAGGACAGTAGAAGGAAATCTTCACAGTGGGCAGAACTTCAGGCAGTGCACCTAGTAGTACATTTTCCCTGAAAGGAGAAATGGCCACATGTGTGACTGTGTACTGATTCATGGGCAGTAGCCAGTTGTCTGCCCACATGGTCAAGAACTTGGAAGGCATATGACTGGAAAATTGGCAGCAAAGATTTGAGGAAGAGATATGTGGATTTGAGGAAGAGGTACTTCTCCACATGGGCTAATGATGTAAACATATTTGTATCCCATGTAAATGCTCACCAAAAAATGACCTCAATAGAAGAGGGCATGAGTGCTTCGTGCCTAAGAGCAGGTAGCCTAGATACAATATAAGGGAAAAAGGCTTCTTCTTTGCTTCTGTTGCCTTGAATTGTTTCTGCCATGAATTGTTTCTACTCCATGGTACCCCTGTCATGCAACCCTGGATTGGAGCCAGCCAACTATGTTTGAAGTAAAAACAGGAAAGAAAGATGACAAAGCAAATAAACCCATAAGAGTCAAGGTGGTTTTGAACTTAGTATTTTCATGAAAAATCTGTTTTTCACACATTTTTTACTGGGAAATATTAAGTGTTCACTTCATTAAAGAAAACATATAAAGGGTGAAATATCAGCTCAGAAAAGAGTAGGAAAAATAAAATACCTGAAGGCGGTGTAAGGGGGAGAAAACTAGTAGGTGATTTAATCCAGGTGAGATATTAATTATATAGATATCCTTCAGTTTCATTTGACCTTATCAGGTGAGGATCTACATGTGTACAGTGAGACTTGTTTTTCACACCACATATCCATGGCCAGCCGCTTGGCTGCTGAAACTGGTAAGTAAACAGACTCCAAAAAGGATGGTGCTGATGATGGTGTGTTGGGTGAATGAGGGGGTCAAAGGCAAAAAAACAAAGTGGCATTGTCAAATGTATGATAAAGGCCATAAACATGTGGACTGAAAATCGAGAAATTCGGCATTTTATGACAAAAATCTACAAACTTCAAGGCTGATTTATTTAAGCCAAATAATCTGAGCAAGACACATATACACAATTTTTAAAAACATGAATACATTAAAATCTCACTATTTATACAATGTAAATCTAGCAACATATACAAATACTGAGTGACTACAGTACATGCCGAGGTAAGAAAAGTACATTCTAGAATATAACTGATGCCCAAACCACATTTACTTCTAGCGTGTATTTCAATACATATGGTTCTGCTTCCACCGTTCCCAGGGCCAACAAACAAACAAAAAAAAAACCCTTAGTCACAAACTGGATTAAATGAGAACTGATGCCACAGTTGACCTAAAAGTATTTCAATAACCATCCAACTCTTACTTGGAGTTTGCAGTTTAGGGACTTCAAGTTCAAAACCAAAAGGCAGAACTAATAATTATTTTCCTAAGCAGAGACTGGTCGGTTGGTAGAGTTAAAGGAAGTTTTCAGTGTTCTACATAACGTACTGTAGAACACACATAGTGTTCTGTCATCTCATCCAACATGGTGTTTCCAATATCCCTTCTCCTCCCCAGCTGACAATGTAGAACCACCAAGGCAAAGCAGCGCAGGCTTTATCACTCTCCGCAGCGTGGAGGCCGTATTCTTTAAATGAGCTCATATTCTACTCACCCCTGGGTGAGGGGAGAAAGGCAGACATAATGTACTTTTAATTCTGCATAAATTCTCTACTTGGACCACTTTCATCAGTGAGTAAACCCACTGTTAAATGCAAAGTGCAAACAGTGAAACATGAACTTAAATAGCTAGACTAGACCTGGCAAATGTAATAGGATCTATCTAGATTATGGTGTTTTTAACTATGCTGGTTCCTAGAACCCAGTAACAGCCCAAGTCAGCATAATTTTATAAAATGTCTAGTGGTCACACTTGCCATAACTCTTCTATTTCTGTAACTGTATTGTTAGAGGGGGAAAAAAAAAAACTAAAACCGTAAACCAAATCACAGTGACTAAAGTCTTAAATGTTTCAAGCAAAGAATAAACATTCAAGGGACTTTTATTTTTAAAAAATGGTCATCTTCACATTTTCAGTTGTTACTTGATTGTCTCCAAGGCTGTATGTGTGTGTACAGACATAGTCTGATATATATTTGAACTATATATCAGATACACAAATATATTAAACAAAAAAAACTAATAGGAAAAAACAACTAAAAAGTACAAAATAAAACAAAAAATATTTGGATCAGGCTCAGCTCTTCATCTGAAAAGTAAAATATATAAAAATAGTAAAAACTAAGTACTTTATTAAAATCATTGGTAGTTCAAGGACAACACAGTGACAATATGAATGTAGTGTTAAAATATGGATCATTTCAGAAAATTTTGCTTCCCACAAAAAAAAAGCAAGCTTCAGGGAAAAGTGATCAGGGCACACAATTATACAAAATAGCAGGTTTCTTTGGGAAAATGAAAATTATTGAAAACATTTCTTAAAGCTTTAAACAGGTACACGACTTGAGAAAAAGTGTATTCTCTGTGTATTAAGGATGAATTAAAAATAAAGCAATTGGTTTACTCTGTTCCCACCTGAAAGGAGAAAGCTGCATTAATACATGTGCTTCACACATTCGTACATGGTTAATAAAAGTTGAACAGCTGTGCTTTTTGTGTCAAATATCTTGAAACAAAATATGCATTGATTTTTCAATGACTGAAATTGTGCCTCAAAGTTTGACAAAGGAAAAGCACACACATACACACACAAAGAAAAAAAAACGTGAATAAAACAAAAATATTAGAAGGAGAAGGCAAGGAAGCTGTAGAAATAATTCTTTTTTGATGCAGTTTTTAGAATACAGTACTAATATAGATGCAGGCAAAATGAATACTGTTCATCTTTATTCAAATTTAGTGAATGCTGGCAACAAAATAATTGGTGGCATAAATCAGAACTCTAGAATCTAAAGGGCAAGTACATTTTAGAAAGATCTATCTCCTTACTACTATTATCTTTTATTTTATTCTATTTATAATTTGATTTTTCTCATATGTACCTGAACCAACTCCATACAAGGAATGTAAACATTATGTATTGCAAACATGTACTAATAAAAAAAATTAAGTACATTTTTTTTTTACATCAAGTCTATCAGCCAAGATTCATGGAAGAGAGAAAGTCAAATTTATATATTTTTATCACACAGTGAACTTAATTCGTCTTGCCAGTCTAAGATGTTTAGACATAGTTTCTGTACTACAGGATAATAAATACATTACATATGACTTCTAATTCATCCCATCTAAAACAGGTTCTGGGCAGGTCATGAACAAATGGTGACTAAGAGTTGCTGGGAGACACCAATTTCATTTGCTAGGATGCTATTACATCTGTTCCCTAGGTGTAACACAAATAACTACTCACAAACCTTACTATACACAAAAGATGCAACCACACTGTACCGCAGGATACACATTGGGTTTCTATTTCTTACCAAATTTTACTGAGGAAAACTGAAATTAAAATTATTTGACTAAAATCATAACACACCTTGAGATTCTGTGTGTGTGTGTGTAAAACCAGAGGATACCTCTGGTCACTTTTTTGTTTTCATGGTAATTTATATTATTTCTGAGTGTACAGAGAGAATCTTCTTTACAGCTTTTCTAAATTTTAAATTCCTTTTCCTATTTTCACAAAGTATAAAGATATCAGAGGATCTGACCTCATGAGATTGATAAAACAAGTATTAACTACAAAAAAACACAAACATTTTATGAACACGAAATGGGCCAGCCATGAAGGGCCCCATTGGAAGGAGCAGAGTGGAGACCAGGTCCTCTACCATGAAGTCTTAAAGCTCTCAGAGTGTCAGCAAGTGACGAGTTAGTAACCCACCTCATTACAAGTCAGCTTCCTAGCCACCAGTCTTCTTAAGACAGAAGTGTGTATGGCTACAATCAAAACAATGCTATATCACTATTAAAGTCCAGGATGCAATTCAGGAATAGAAAAGGAGGCAAACATAATAGTACCCACCTTTCACAAAAGGAAAATTTCAAGCCATTAGATATTTCAAGAACAGTACCATGCGTATTGCCCATCAGGCTTACAGAACCAACTCAAGCTCATTAATGTACCTGCAGCATTGGTAATAAATACTCTCAGTGATTTTCAGTTTCTTTGAAGTGCATTATAGGGGTCTTTTTCTGTATTAAAAATAGTGTTTTACAGTAGTAATAAACAAGTTGAAAATTTAACAGGCAAGTAGTAACTGTGCCACAGTAACACCTTTAAAGCAAGATGGCAAGATAAGTAGTTTCCTGTACCTTGGCCACATTTTCCCAACCACTTCAGTGACAGATATTTAAGACATTCTATATATTACTACCACTAATAATTTTTTTTAAAAGGCCATGTGCTTTAAATTGATGCTTTGTAACAAGCAGCATCATCTTCAAAGGATTTCTTTAAAGACATCATACTCCCCATCCCTTCTTGCTCCTGGTACTTCCTGTGTGCTCTGTGGCACCTGATACACCAGTTCTTCTGGGGCATCTGGACCTGGCTTCCCACCTTTAGGGGTATCATACTGGGCTCGGGCTGAGGAGCAGCTGTCAGTCCTGGAGAGAAGTGTGTTGTAAGTTCCCACTAAAGAAGGAGGCTGGTTCCCTGCAGTTTTGAAAGTGGATGTAGAGGGTAGACCAACTGAAGCTGTGGGGCGTCCTGACATGTCCATGACAATTGGGGTTGCATATTCAGGCCCCGTGATTGGGAGTGGTTCAGCATATGCATGGTAAACTTCCTGCACTGGAGAGTTGTAAAGATCCAGGTCTGCATAGCCTGCTTCTTTTCCTTCTTCTGGTTTAAAGGTTGATCTCTGATGAAGCGTACCCACAATTCCTCCTACAAGTGGTTGTGCATACTCTGGATATCACAAAACACAAATAAAATATTGCCTTACTAATAGACCAGTTCCATAAGTTAAGATGGCAGCTGCAAGTTGCACCAAAAGCAAACACTTACTTATGGCACTACTGTTGCTATTAATGCAGACCTATGAACCAACTTTAAAATTAAAGATGTTATCTAATATCTTAAGAGTAACAAGCCAGAAAGCTTTATTCATGTTCTTTAGATTTACAGGGAGTACTTGACTGGAAAAGAAATATTTCATTACTGGAATAAGTATTAGTTTTGGAAAATAGTATATATATATATTTTTTTTTTTCATTTTCACATCTAAGAAAATGTTTTAAATGAATGTATACTGGAATAACAGGACACCATAAGGCTTTGTCTGCCTTGCTCTCCTCTTACTATTGTTGCCTGCCCAAAATAAAGAAGACAAAAATACTTTAACATACAAAATGCCCAAAGCCTTAAAAAATAAATGGCCCGATTCTATGAACAGAATCTAGGACACAAAAATGATTTTCTCAAAAATCTACCTTTGAAAAATGAAAAGTTTACCTTCAAAAAATAATTCTTCTTTAACATATGAAAAATATCAAAAGATATTGGCAACCCCAAAGCAGTTTACAGCAAACGTAAGCAATACTTTCTTCCACCTGGTATCCAAAGCCACCACATTTACCTGCAGAGTCAGTTTGTAGCACTGTGGTGACCTCTCTTGGAGTCAAGTGATTAACTTCACTACTGCTGTAGCGAACTGGGGTTTCCTCATGTTCCACTGATTTGGCAGGGAGAAACTGCTTCATTCCTTTCCACCAACCTTCATTGTGATTATAAGCCAAAGAGACCATTTAATTTGTATAACATCATCTTCATGCTGTCCTTCATATTTAATAGCATTTCTGGTTTGATAGGATATCCAGTGCAAGGCAAAACATGGTAACAAATAGCTAGAACAAACTAGCCTTTATATTCAAGCTTATTTTCTACTTTGATAGAATATCCAGTGGAGGACAGAACATAGTAGAAATCTCTATCAAATGCATATGCAGAAGCAAATCACTGCTGTTATATGCAGTCAGGCAAAGTGTTTATTGTAAGCATGGTTTTTCATACGTTTTTCTCAATACTTTCCAAGACCCACCCACCACAGTAGCCCTGTGATCTGCTCCACCTGTCCCAGTACTCTTGTGCTAGCACTGACACCTAAAAAGGAGGGCACTGTCACAGGGCTCCTAGTGTTAACTGCAGCAATCCAAAATATGGTGAATCCTCACTGCAGAGATGGCAGACCTCATGCACTCTTACACTCCACCTAGTGAGCAGCCACAGCAGTGTGACACAAACATATGCCATCCTTTTGTTTCTCACTGAACACTCACACAGATCACATAGAAAAACCTGGTCTCCTTAAGAGGACGACACATAGGACAAACCAGACAAGCGTGCCACAATAAAAAGAACAGCATGTATCATGAGAAACTTTCACCTTCTACTTCATTACTGATTAACTAGAAGAGATTGTGCAGAAGAGTAAAAATAGCGAGAAGAGCATGCCCCTTTTCTGTCAGTGTGGAGAAGTTGCGTGGGCTGGAGAATGCGTTCCTCGTGCACTACTGCCTCCTACAGTAGAAGGAATTCCCTCAAAAGAAAAGAGATGCAAAGTTCATACAAGTTACCTGCCCGGTCCCAAGTAGGTAAATCATAGGTGCCTTCAGTTTTTTTCTTTCTGCAAAATACAGAAAGAAATGTTAACAAACAGAGTACATTCTCAGGTAAGAAACCTCTGAAACTGCAGTGTGAACACCTGAGTTAATAATTATCCAAGAACACACATTTCTACTTGCTGACCTTCCCAGATGAGTTCTCTACTTCATTTAACTTTTGGTGTTGCCACTGCTCAAGCCTATAAGTTCTGGCTGTCAGTAAATTTATCTTGTTACCCACCTAGGACCCACAGAAAGTGAGAAAGAAAATAAAGAAGGGCAAGTCTATAGATTTAAAAGACAAAGACACCCTGACAGGTGAGCTAACATGGGCACATCAGGTTACATTTGTTCTGGATTCAAATGCAAATCTCACAAATCAATCCATTCACAAAATTCACACTAAAAAAAACTAATTTTTTTCTGTTGTTCGTTTTTCTAACTTTTTGCTTTTTTTTCTCCATGCTTTGTCCAAGACAAGTTGAAGTTAACTGCACAGATGTCATTCCCTTTATATTTCAGTGTGAGTTAACACTATCACTAACAGTGACAAGTGGTAGAGGGAAGAAAATGGTTCTCAGGGCCTGGGAGGCACCACAGTGCCTTTGGAGAATTAAGAGCCACCAATTAAAACAAAAAGGACTCTCACCAACCCACCTGTAAGAATTCTAATTTGTTCTCCCCAGGAGAAATCTCTTCCACTATTAAGAATTACTGCTAAGAAGCTTTTACCAAAAACAAAAAAACAAAACAAAACAAAAAAAGCAAGCAAAGAACATTTTCTAATTTAGTTGTGTAAACCTAATTTAACTAAAATTAATACTTTTCAGGCTAATGAGAAAGCACAAAGTACTTTTGTCTATAAGTGAGGGTAAGGCAGCTATACTATTTGCTCAAGACCATAAATTTGGCTTTCATGAAGACCTCAAGCTATTTATTTTTCCTACTGAAAAACATCCATTTCTAACGTAACGCTATGTTTTTATTGCTGATATAAATCTTATCTTAACGCTTGACTGTATTTAAATTATTTCATTATTTTAAAATAAAGTATAAATAAATTTATGGAAGAAATAGGAGGTTTAAAGCTGGTAATAAAAAACTGGAATGCAAAATGACAAAATATGATGGCTTATTAAGTCATTTTCTTCCTGAAAGCCCTTTAGTTCAGCCCTCAGCCCCAAACCCTGTTAAAAATGGGGCTGCTGGGCTGGGGATTTAGCTCAGTGGCATAAGCGCCTGCCTTGTAAGCAGGCAGTCGTGAGTTCGATCCCTGGTACCGATAAAAACGAAAGACAAAAAAAAAAAAAAAAAAAAAATGGGGCTGCACCATAGGAGGTGATGTGGCAGGTCAGCAAGCCAAAGGCTTGCGCACAGCCTCTCCTCAGAATCTTTCTGGAAGCACACACCACCAGTAACCCCTGCCCAGGCATAAAAAAATCTATCCTCTACCAAAATGGTATCTGAAAAAGTTGAGGACCATTGCTCTAGTTACCCTAAGATTATTTTTTTAAAAATAATGTTTTTTTAATTATTTAATGTTCTGATGTTCTCTAAATGAAAGTAGTCTACATAGCTAGGACAAAAGCTTTATAGTCTGAATATTAAAGGTTGAGTACAAAGGATTTTAGATATTAAATCTCAAGTGAAAAGGCTTCAAGTTATTCATTCATTATAAGTAAGTACTTAAAACAGTAGTTGGTGTGGGTTAAGGATTCAGTAAGTTGCATTTGTTTTTATTATTTCTCTTCCTTCCTATTCTCCACAGCCCCTGGATGGTACTTGCTCCTTTACTCTTTGTTGACAAGCTAATATCCAGGAATTTCAACTACATTCATGGTCCAATTCCCCAGCTCAGCCCGCTTGTCATGAATACTAGGCATGTATTACCACTCCTTTGGGGAATCTGAATATTCGAGGGTCCTGTATACACTATGCCTAAGTGATTTCAGCACCTAACTTCTGCCTCCCTTCAAAAACTCCTCTCTCCTATCCTCACTCTCATGCCTGTTTTCATCAACATTGGTCACATTTATTTATGTATTATACCTTCATGGACAGCAGTGGACAAAAGCATGAGCTGCGAAACCTGGTCTAACACTACTCTGCTACTTACCAGCCAGTGACATCAGGCAAGTTACATGGCTGACATCATCCTCACCATTATTGTTCAGTTCACTGGGCACATCACATACTTTCATCTGTCCTTTTCTGAAGCCCTTTCCTTCTCTTCCTCTCTTTATTATCTTCAGATTAACTTACTGCCTCTCTGTTCAGTCTTCCCAACACCATGACACTGAGCTCCATTTGCCTCACTAGCGCCCCTGCGACACAATTTTGTACTGCATGCCAGAGCACACAGTTATCTACACTGTATACTTATCTATAAGCTTTGAGGTTCACTACTGGACTCCTTAGCACATTGCTCACTACTTGGCACAGGGTAGCAGCTAAGTATTCAAATATTTGTTGAATGATTGAATAAATAAAACCATCTTCTTTCTCTACCAAGCCTGTCCTTCCTTGTTATTGTCTCAAAATTATGACATCACTACTAACTGGACAAGCTGTAAGCGACAGACCACCCCAGATCCATCCTTCTTCTTTAGTAGACAACCAATCATGCATCCTTTCGATGCTGCTATGAAACATCTCCCCCTCCATCCCTTCTCCCTTTCCCAGAGTTATGTCGTATTTCTGCCACACTAGTTTCCCTACTCATTTCTCTGATTTTTGTTCTTCAGGTAATCCAAGTCACTATTCATAAATCTCAATACTACCTTCTACAATCACAAGTGCTTAACACTCACTGATTACCCCATCCACAGAATAAAGGCTCCCAGAGAGCCTATCGTTCTTCAGGCTCAGACTGTATTTCTATTCTTGCTGGTCTCCCTCATGCCAGCCCCACAGAATAACTCATTATTCTGTCCACATCCTATTTCTTTCTTTTTACTGAGGCAACTCTCTCAATTTGGGCTATTCTCTATTATAACCCTCTACATGTCTATCTTTCCAAATCCTTGTATTTAAATTCTCACCCTTTAAGGTGATGGCGGCATCAGGAGGTGGGGCCTCTGTGAGACAGTGAAGTCTTGAAGTGAGAGATCTGAATGGGATGGTGCTCTTGGAAAAGCAGCCTGAAGGAACCTACTTGTCCCTCCCCGCTCTGTGAGGACAGAACAAGGTGCTCTGTGCACTAGAAAGGGGGCCCTCACTGCCCAGTGAATCTGCCAGTGCTTCAACGTCTCCAAAACTGTGAGAAAGTTCTCACAGTTTCTCCAAAACTGTGTTGTTTAGAAGTCACCACATTTATAGTATCTTCTTCTAACACTTCAAACAGTTAAGAAATCTGTCTGCCTTCCTCTATCTAGGCAACCCCAACTCCTTTAGGTGAAATATGAGGATTCCCCTTTCTTAAAGAAAAGGTCTCAAATAAATCAGAATGGTTCTCTTCATTGCTTCATGTAAATTAATTCATCAAACCACAGGACAGTTCATTATTTTGCATTAGGAAACTCTACTCATCCATTTGGAGAAATGAATTGGTTTCTTCAGTAAAAATTACTAAATAACTATTACATTAGACAATTATCATATTACTGCAAAGATTCTAATATATAATGTAGAACATAATATAAAGGCACTAAGTAACTGGGAACTGAACTTACTACTTTTTAATGGGAATAAGAAGAAATATATGTAATTTCTATTCTAATGACTCTCATTCTCAAATGGGTAAACTGTACTGAATATATCTTCTACATTTAGTTTTTATTTTACAGTGGAACGCACCCTTTGACCCCCAGCACCAGCGAGGTGAACTACCTCTGTACTAACCTGTTTCTCCAATGCCAAGCACATACTAATATTAGGATAAGAGTAGTGAGGACCATGACTAGCACAGGGACAAGAACAGCAGCCAGCGCTACATCTAAAATTATAAAAATTTTAAAAATTAAAAAACCTCATTAACAGCAAAAGCATAAAATTTTTAAAAATTAAAAAATCACATTAACACAAAAGCAGAAATGAGAAAAAAGACTGAAAAAAATTAGCTATATCATTGCTTAATACTTCCTGTATCAACAAATAGCTTATGTATCATTTATAAAACAAGACTAGCAAGAGTTACCAAATGCAGACAGTTTCACAGGTACACCAATTATTCCATCTTTGTATATATTTTAAATTTTTATTAAGTTTTAAATCACCAAAATAAAACCAAAAGACAAACAATAAGCAGGAAAAGTGAATATTCTGCATATACAGTAATATGAAGAATTCAAATAGGGCTCTACAAGTCAAAAGCAAACAACAGAAAACAATCAGTGGAGATCAATTAGGGTTAGAGTAAGCATTAAATATATTCACCTCATTACTAGTCAATAAATGTAAGTTAAACTTACAAGAGTTGGTAATTCTACAGCTAGAATTTATTCTTGGGATGAAAGTAAGGAGATGCTCATTCCTATTTCTGCAAAACAGTGAAAACTTAAAAACAATCTGACTACCCAGTGATGAGGGAGTAAGTAAATCATGGTATCCAACTAACAGGAGAATATAATTTAGCACTTAAAAAATTGTGTTATAACATAACAGGAAAATATTTATGGATATAAGAAGGTAACAACAATCAAGCAGAATAAAACTGACTAAGAAAGTATCTATCAACAAGTCAAAAACTAAGAAATACTGGAGCTGGCAGGAACGTAAGAGAAAATTTAGTATCTTTATCTCACACATAAAGAATCCTGGACCCTGGAACAAAAACTGAAATGACCAAGGGTTCCATGGTATGTGAGCTTCTTCCTTAGTCCTTCAGTCCCCTCCTAGCTATGAAGATGACAACAGTGGCACCTGCTGACATTCACATGGGGCTACGTCCCATACACTGCAGGAGTCTAACTGCAGCATCTTCTTTACCCCTTTCCAAGAGAGGAAGAGGCTGATGACAGAGGCGTGGGACAGCATAATCAATAATGGCAGGCCCTGAGAAGCCAATGGGTGGGTGTGCAGACAGACAAAATGATTGCCTTTGGTCAGCACAAGACACCCCCTTGATCAAAACAGTGAATGGCGGATACAAGAAAGTCTCTTGCCTTAAGAAGGAAATTCTCTTCAAATGCCTTCTACTTTTTTGCAAAGCTGGAGAAGTAACTGAGACTGAGTAAAGATCTCTCAGTCAAATATTTGAAAAAATATGGAGAATGTTAAAAAAAATGGTACATTAAAATATAGTATTAATGTATGGTATGGTTGAGAACAAATAGAAGAGTTAACTAGTGAAATTTAGAAGACTGCCAGCACATGTTGGACCATGAACATGACTTCTCCTGAAATCATTCTTGGTCTGATGTAAAAATGGAGAAGGTGAAGTGCATAAAACAAGAATTACTCGAGGCTTTTATAGGTAAATAAATGCAACTCAAGAACACACTCCTAAGTGAAATAAATCAGGCTTACATGTGTAAACAGGATATTGTCTAAGAAACTGAAAGAGTAAATAAGAGCCAAAAGGTACAATAGATATGGTGAAAGGGAAAGAAACTGTTCAAAGGGAAAGAACAACTGGGATGGGGGAAAGGAGAAAGGGAAGAAACATATATAGACAGAGACACACACACACACACACACAGATAAGCTAGGCCAACTGTTCTACTTGCTCCTCTAGTTCACTGAAAGGAACAGTTAGTGCGTGTTTTGCTTGATCAGTTTTGCATGCCTATATCTGGCAATCTGAGCAACTATTTTGAAGACAATATGTATTGTAATAACCATTGTTATTTTCGTATTATGTTTTGAAATTTTGTATCTTTTTTTAAAATTCTCTTTTAAAAAATTATGACTCCGACTAGGAAAAACTCAATTCAGAAAAATAAATGTGTTTTTTTAAAAAAATGTGTGAAACTGGAGAAACAGGGTTAGATGAATGTAGTATAACTGTATCAGAGGTCTTAAGAGTATCTGTTAAAGTTTTAAAAAGTAATAAATCTATCCATCACCATCTCAAAGAAAAGAAGGCAGGCGGCTTCAAATGAGATCACCTCATCTCTGTTACCTAGTTCTGAAGGATCTAACCCTGAGATTTTGATAGTCTATGAACTCAGAACAGTAAGCGGCTCTTCTTCCATTTATGCATGTGGCTTGGGATTCTGCCAAAACACATTTGTCTTCTACAAATTGGAAGAAGCTCTTTGGGAGATGTTGAGATTCCTTGCCTCAGATTTTTTGCTTGAATCTAACTTTTCCTGAAGCATGAGTATGAAAGTCATCTTTGTTAAAACACCTCGAAAGATAGGAAAGAAACTGGCATGTGGAATGCCGACGAAAGTTATCTGAATCTAGGCCAATTTTTAGAAAATAGAATGATTGAAGTTCCATGTGGCACTAGTTACTCCATGAATTGCTTTCACTTCTCTGAACTTTTTCTGAAAATCAGTATGCTTTTTAATCTTTTTGCAGATACTAACTCTCCTATGACACTGACAGTTTTTTTCTTGAATTCAACTGAAATTTTTTTAACAATTAGTAAAAAGAACTATATTTTGTTTTAACTATGTTTTTGTACATTTGAACACCCTCCTTCTCACTGATAACACAATTTGAAAATAAATTACAGTGATCTGTAAAACCCCAAAAACACATGAAAAAATGTTTATGAGTATGTTAACTTGAAATACTTTTTTACAAAGTATTTAGTTTATACGCAACAGTTTTGTTTTTGTTTCTCCCTCTGCACCATCAGGTTCCTTATCAGCAAACTAATACATATCTAGGGCAAAAAAACCGTGCTTAGTTTTAATGATTTCTAGAAATACCATATTTCTAAGCTTAATACTCAATATATTTAGCTGAAAGGGGAAAATAAGAAAAGAGAAAGGCTATAAAACAGTAGTCATCTCTAAATATTTAAATAGCAGTTTTACATGGCATCACAGAATAGAACTCAGCCTACAGAACAGAACAGAAGATTAGCACAGCCAGTCTTTTCTCTAAAACAGCACATTAAATTTTTGTTAGACTTAAAAAAACTACATTTGGAGGGAAAGAAACCAAGGGCTCAAGCTGGAAATGACCCTGAAAACACTTGTTAAAAACAAACACCACAATGTACAAGGTATTCATTTTATCATGTACATACCTTTGGTTACATTTGGAGTTATGGTTGTATTTTTGATATCAGGAGTGATAGTTGTTTGTTCTGTGTGTACAGGAAATTCATTACTACTGCGAGGCTGTAATGGTTGAGAATATTTTGGGGCACGACCTTGAAAAAAGTTTTAAAAACAACTTTCAAACAATAAGGTAAATTCACTTAAATGATTAAGATAATTAAATGAAAGGGGTCGGGGATTTAGCTCAGGGGCACAAGCTCCTGCCTGGCAAGGGCAAGATCATGAGTTCCATCCCCAGTACAAAAAAAACAACAACAAAAAAGATCATTAAATGATTAAGATAATTATGATAAATTTATTTCTTAATGTTTAAATACATGTATGGAAAATTCAAGCACTATCAAATTCTCACTTTAGAAGCAGACATACCTTTGGCTATTCTGGGAGGGGTTGTGGTGTTTTTAATATCGTTTTTCGGGGGCGGTGGAGGTTGAGTAAGTTTTGGAGGACGACCTTGAAAAATGGTTTAGAAAATTTAATGCATTTTGCTTTTAACAAATCATAGTAAAAAAACAGTATTATTAAATGTCTTCAACACTTCCCAAAGTAATTTTCAAGAGTGATTTTAAATCTCAGAATATATCAGAAGTATAAATATTATATTTGGCATTAAGTATACGGAGATTTTTCAGTATTTAAATAATTAAATCACCTAAAAATAATCCTACAGGAGAATATTAAGGAGCAGAATGAAATCTAACACTATATAGGTGTCATCACAATTTAACATATTATTTAATTATCACAGTAATTATGAGAAACAAAGGACATGTGAGGTACTGCAGCAGTTTTGGGGGTACAGCAATAAAATAATATTAAACTATTGTAAAATACTGTAAAAGAACTTATTCCCACTTTTAGTTAATTCAACTCAGGCCTCAGTTATGGTTCTACTCTTCAGTGCTTATGTTATAGTACACGAGACCTCATTAAACCTTATTAAAATTAAATCTAGAATTGAAAAGTGTATCAATACATTATCTCACAAGAATAATGCTACTTGTTTCACTTGTCATTTTGGTAATAATTTTTATATGTAACTTTTTAATATAATTATATACTTTTAAAAATTCCTATAAAAATACTATAATTAAAAACAAAAGCACTCACATTTTACTAATTATTTCTCTTGAGAATAATAGCAAAGCCCATTTATCTCCTTAGTAAGAAGGATTTTTTAATGCTCCCAACACAAAGAAATAATACAGATCCGAGATGACAATATGTCAGCTAGCCTGATGTGATCATTACACATTGTATGCATGGGATGAAATGTCACATAAATATATCTCCTATGTGTAGTAATAATAACATAATTATTATGTGTCAAATTTTAGAACTGTATTTAAAAATTAATGATACATTGCAATAACATGTTAAACACATAGTCTTTTTACCTTTAGGAATAAACTGACAGCCAAGCAGTTCCACTTTCATGGCAATTTTCTGCTGCCACTGGGTAGGGTGCACTCTAATAAAACGTGCAATAATTGGTGGTAAAAAGTTATTACGCACATCCTGGTGATAATCTTTGTTTCCTTGAAATATCTTAAAAAATAAAACAAAATAAATTATCTATACTTTACATCCACAGAGGTCAGAGCTAAACTGCTCCACTTGAACATGTTTTATTGTTTGCTTTGAGCCTTAAACATCTGTGAAGAATTAGTTTTTACAAAATAATCATAATTGAGAAAATTTCTTCATTAAAATTTATAAAAGGCTTTTCAGTTGCAGAGAAACAGCTTATTGCATTAATAATTAATTCTAGTCCTGTAGAATTCCATATTTTAAATAAAAATATATTAATTTTATTTTTAAAATTAAAATTATTAAGCATACAAAGTCTTACAGGAAATGCTATGCTTATGTGTTTTAATAATTGTTTTCTCAATAAACAGGCTGAAAGTGAACATATACTAGCTAATAACAGAAATGTATCCCCACCTATTGGGTAAACTTGATTAAGCCAAGTCCCATATTGTGATTCCATTTTTCATTACCTTGTTGGTACCTGAACCAGACAAGTAACTAAAACACCATTCTGGGATCTAATTTAATTATCATAACTAAACAGCTACAAATGCATTCCATAAATAGTTCTCAGGTAAAAATATTTTAAGTGACTTGTTTCTTCAACTATTTCAAGAAAAGAGGGATAGTATCTTATTCTGGGTCAGTTCTATTTGAAGCATTTTCAGACAGTTAATTCACATGGCCTTCAAGATGAAATGGGGCACAAAAAGCTGACTCACAGACTCTAGGGAACCGTACAGCAGTGAAGGCCAGGGCAGTGACTATATCCGTGTTTTCAACATTAAGTACAGGGTGTGAACCCATGAAGTGCCTTGCTTCATCCCTTTGGCCAAATCAGCTAGGGAGTTTCTCAAGACTCATAATAAGTGGACACTGGCATAAAATCAAACTGATTGACTGATATAATATATAGTATATATACATGGTTTTGGTTTTTTAAATCAACTAAAGAGCAAGTAAATGCTTAATTTTTCAAATTACCCCCAAATATAGTGGTTACTTCATCTTGACTGATTCACATGGAATCACGAGTCTCTAAAGATGTGCTTATCCTGCATTTTCTAAAGTTTGTTTTTAAGTTATAATAATCTACATACTTATAAGGGTTCATGAATTCCTTAGCTATTTCTCTGAAATAAAGGCAATTATTTGCAATCCTATTACATCAGGACAGGAACTAGAGCAAAACATCATCTTAGTACATAAAAACTATTACTGCAAAATATACAAAAAAAAAAAGAAAGAAAGAAAGCAGAAAGAGAAGAGAATAAAAAGATGGACCAGAAGGGGAAGAAGGGAAGTAAAAAGGGATGAAAAAGGAATTAAATTGTATTATGTACATTTACCAATTCCCCACAAGGAAATGTAACTATTATGTACCACAAGCATGTACTAGTAAATAAAAAAAACTATTATAAGGTCTTTATATTGTAATGTCAACTTTATAAAAAAATCTTTAAAAATAACAATTCTTACAAAAACAGTAAAAGTGATGTGCTATAGTCAAATGTGTTGAGAATTCCAGTAGAGAAAGGTTTCCAAGGTGTCATTAGGATAGAACAGCAATGCAAGGTCCATTCTTCTAGGAACTTAAGTCTTCTATGTTACCAAATACAGATATGACATAACATTAGAAAGTGATAAATAATAAATATAAGTTGTATACATATGTTAATTCATATATTTAATATATACCTATGTTAAAAGTAAAATCTAAAGTTTGGTCTCTATCTGTATGTATATACTGTACATTTAGAAAATCAACACACAAATTACCCAAGATGCAGGTAGATGAGGAAGCAGATGGACAACTGTTGTTTCACAATATTCAACGTGAAAATTTTCACTTCAGTGTATGATACAGTAACAAGGCCTGGACTTATTCTCTGGCCTTAAACATAAATAGCTGAGTAAAATACATGAAACAACAGTTCTCAGACATTGGACAACAGATAGCTTAAGGCAATAAGTACACATTAAAGGCAAACAAATGAGATGAGCTATGCTATCCCTCAAGTACTAAGAGAACGCTTCCAGGTCACAGTGCAGAGATCCCAAATAGGGCCTAGTGGTCTCACTTAGTTGAAAAGATAGAGCTCAGAAGCCAGGCATGGTGGTTCACCCCTATAATCCCAGCACTTAGGAGGCTGAGGTGGGAGGATCGTTGCGAGTTTGTAGCCCCAGCCGGGGCTACAAAGTGAGCTCAAGGCCAGCCTGAACTGCATAGAGAGACCCCGCCTCAAAAAGAGACAAAAGATAAAGATAGAGTTCAGAAACATCAAGGTCAATGAACAGCTAGAATTTGTATGACACAGTTTAGGAAAGATGAGAGTGGGAGACAGACTGAGGATGGGAGAAAGAAAATCAGATTGAGACTGACTTTGAGGAACTGTGGAGGCTTTTCCTTTAAATCTTTAGTTACTTGTATAGACATGACCCCTGAAGAGGCAAAAAACTACGAGGAGCCAGCAGAATGAGTCTCGCAGACACACAGGTGTGGAACTACTTCACGCTGCCAACACTTAAAATGGAGACACTTCACAATACATGGGACATTGTAAAGGGACTTAAATATAGTGCATGATAAAATTAGTAACGATACTGAAATTTATAAGCTCTACTAATAAACTGTGAAAGATATTCAAGATTGTTAGAAGTCTCATCAAAAACAATACAAGCCAGGAAAGTGGACCAGTTTATTTAAATATGGAAAGAAAAATGTCAACCTAGATTCTATAGCTACAAAAATTATCTTGCAAAAATGAAGCAAAATAGAGGCTGGAGATTTAGCCCAGTGATGCAAGCACAAGGTCATGAGTTTATCTCCAGCACACATAGACACACACAAAAATCTCAATAAACAGTGCTGGGAAATGCAGTAAAATAACTTTGAGAAATGTAAGTCACTACTGTTAGGTATCTTTATATATAAGCATGAACATTCTTAAATTTTAAAACTTTTTTTCACAAGTATAATAAGTATTAAATATTTAATATCATACAACAAGTATAGTAAATATGGATGTGCTAGAATTAAAGAATCACCAAGTTTGTAGCATTAAGCAGAAGGTAGGCACAGAGATAGTACTCCTATTTGCTTTAACAGCTAGCAGCTCCTCAAAGAGCTAGTTTATAAAATAAAAACAAGATAGCAGGACAGAAAAGACAGTAAAAATTCTTGAAATTTTAAAGAGATTGATTTTAAAAAGTAGAAACTGAAGATTATAACCAAATGAAACACATTATAAAACAAAGTATCATATAATCAAAACCAAATTTAGTGGGAAATTTCATTGAAAAATTATGCTTGTAGTTTCAATTCTAGATAGAAAGCATCTCTCTGCCTTGGGGATGGGGACTCCCTACTTAAAATTCCCTCAGTAGATCACAGCCCACAAGGCCAGAAAGCCTGGAGGTGAGAGGTGTAAGCACCTGGGTGAGATCCATTTCTGCCTACTCTCCACACCTTTTCTTCTGTGGCTCATTCCAGCATCTTCATAATCTTTCACTAAGTGAAACAATTATCATAAGATGTTAAAGAAACATTTCAAGTAGGAAAAACATAAGTTTTCTAAAATAAAAGCTGGTAAGATGATCTTGAAAACCTCCTCCAAGTTTTTAAAGCCCTTTATCCTGTATCTGTTTTGTCTTTTTTTAAAGAGCAGAAATGATGTGGAAATAAACTGGGCTCTCTCTTACTTGGTAGATTAGTAAGTTTATAAGGACAAAAAACTTCAAGTTGCTTTCTAGTATCTCTTAATGAAGGGGCCAAAAATGTCAGTAAAAATTCAGTGTCAAAAGTCAGTAAAGTATTTATGTTCCAGTTGTCAAAAGAGATCTAAAAATAAGGGAGAACTTTCTAATCAGTTAGAAGGCACTTAACGCTACCTAAAATAACCAGAAGAGGGCAGAGGAAGACAAAATGATTAACATCTACATCTTCATACAGCAGAACTTTTGTGACTTTTGGCAAAGGACCTTTTTAAAAAATACTTGGTAATCATTTTACCTTACACTGCTCCGTCCCAGGCTCACTGTACACAGTCCATTTCTGCCCATCATCACTGTACTGAATGGTGTAGGCAGATACATAATAATTGTGTTCTATCATGGTTGATCCAGTAGTGATAATGCCTGGAGAAGAACTTTCATCAGTGCACAGGGTCTGAGTCCCAGTTTTCAGCATCAAAGCATGAGCACTTGCATTGTACTGCACAAATGTTTTTACTATGGCTCATTTCTGTCTCTAAGTGCAAGTTTTCATCACAGTAGGCACTAAATCCTTGGATTGTTTCTTTGCAGAGACAGGAAGAATTATGGGTGTGGATTAAAAAAAGAACTGTCCTATTTTGGCAGCTAAGGTTCACATAATTATACATTTTAAATTCTGAGTAAAAATGATTTCCTGGGGATGGAAAAATTAAAGGTGATGACTAATATTATTTTTGGTATCAAAATAAAAATAAATTTTTAACAAAATTATTTAAATCAGCCTCAATGAATTATTCTGACCATTCACAAAGTTCTAAATCAAATTTATACTTGGCACATGCAGAACATTAGTCATTTGTAGCACTTAAAATAGATCCTTCTTGGTTGAGAATTTAGTTCAGTGGCATAAGCATCTTCCTGGCAAGCACAAGGTTGTGAGTTCAATTCCCAGTATTACAAAAAAAAAAAAAAAAATCCTTCTTGAATATAACTTTCTCTTAATGACCGCAAAAGGTGATTATTTTAGATGTCTAAGGATCACTTTACCAAAATATTATCATAAAATAATTTTATTACAATGAAAAGGTAAAGTTTTTAAGAACTAAATAACATCCAGGAACACTGATGACCACCTATGATCCCAGCACTCAGGGAGGCTGAGAAAAGAAGACTGCAAATTAGAACCTCTCTAAGCAATCTACTGATTTAATTAGACATTGTCTCCAAATAAATAAATAAATAAACGTAGGCCTGGGGATATAGGTACAGCTCCAGATTCAATCTTCAATACCACCATGTTTCACAAAACTATTTTGAACCAGGAATGGTGCCACGTGGTACTAATCCTAACACTTAGGAAGCTGAGCAGGAGGATCATTGTGAGCTCAAGGTCAGCTAAGCTATAGAGCAAGACTGCCACAAAAAAAAAAAAAAAGAAAAATTAACAAAATTTTAAAACTAAAAGACAAAAACTATCTTTAGTAATAGCAGCATCAGTGAAGAAAATTGAATCAAATTTTCAGTGACCTAATTTTTTTTTTGGTCTTTTTTGAGACAGGATCTCGCTATGCAGTTCAGGCTGGCCTTGGCTGGTCAAGGCCCAGGCTGGTCTCCAAACCTGCAATGATCCTCCCACCTCAGCCTCCCCAGTGCTGGGATTACAGGCGTGAGCCACCACGCCTGGCAATGACCTAATTTTTTACAAAAATCTTAAGATGTCCCCATATAAAATCACTATTACCAACCACTGTAGAAAATTCTGTCTCTTAACCTGTTATCTTCTTTTCCTTATTCAGATCTATTTGTAACCACTGATCTTTATCAGTGGCAAAAGCAGCCCAAGGAGGTCCAGGTTTTTTAAGTCTGGCCTTTTCAGGTTTCCAACTGTTCTTCTGCCCTGTTTGGTCAGTCCACTCCAATACAGATGATGCTGTTATCTGAGGGTCAGCGATCACACCAGATTCCATTCCCAGTGTTCCATAACAACCTGGGCAGGGAAGAAAAAAAAAAAAGCTTAGTTTCTAGATGTAAATTCAAAACCTATATAAACTCATTTTCTGCAAACTATTACACAACTAGGCAAGTGCTTCTTGGGTCCATATCATTTGGATATTCTAAATAAACTTATAAATACATACTCATCCATCAGTATTCTTGGGAGACTGAGTCTAAAACCCTACTGCTCATCACAAAGTAGATACCAAAGCCACAGGTGTTCAAATTCCTTATATAAAATGGTTTATTATTACAAGCACATATCTTATATATCCTTGCTGTATACAGCAGTGCCTGGGTTCATGCATTGAATTTGTTCTACGATTTTGGAAAAGATAGCCCCATTTGTGTTCTAATGGGAAAGATGGCCACAGTCATGTCGGTCACTTGCTGAAGAATTTGCAAATAAAAACAAAATTTTGCCAAGTGCTTCTAAAAATCATATTGCTTGCAAATGTTCATGAACAGAGGTATCACTTATTTTCCATCATCTATAGATTACTTACATGCCTAATGCAATGTAGTTATACTGTATTAAGGAACGATGACAAGAACATCTGCACATGTTCAGTACATATGAAATTTTTTCTGAGTACTACCAATGTGCACATGTGAAATCCATGATTATAGTGAACTGACCATGCATCCATGAGTACTAACTGTTAGTTTACAAAGAGGTACCTTTGGTTTTCTAAGACATCTACTAGATAACTGGTAATCTCGTTTACTTCCTTCTAGTTTTTATTTATATGTAATATTCTCTATGAGGGTTGTGTGTGTGTTTCACTTGCTTTTGTCTCACTAGCACAACAATGCCTGGCAAATGAAAAGCTGCATTCAACAAATAATTTCTGCTGCAGTCAAATTCAAAAGTCATCCTCTCAGTGTCCATGGTCATACCACCCTGAACACACCACATCATATTAACATCATCCTCTCTGGGAGCCTCCTTCTTACAACAGAGTGAAGATCCACTTTATTCATTGTGTAATTAGTTACCCTATTTCACTTGTGGTGTTGTTATGGAAAATAAAGTACAAAAAGAAACACACACAAAACCCCAGCAGTTAGCACAATGCCTCACCAACAGTTGGTGCTAGAGAAAAATTAGCTGTTACACAAATTATATTGTTAGAAATTTGATGAAAGGCTTACCACTTGTCTTAAACGTAAAAAGACTTGTAGACAAGTGTCCCCTGAAAAAGAAAAACGTATTTTCTTATGATATTCACATAACACATGACATTCTCATATTAATGAAACTTCTGTGGCTAAAAATTAGACAACTGATAATGTTCTTCAAAAAAAACTTCATTTCTAAGAAGAGCAACCTCTGAATTCAGCATAAACAACTTTTTTCTACAAGAATCTAGTACAAACTTTCACATATAACTATGCAAATATGTATATGAACACATTTATTTAACTTCTTTTTTATAAAATAAACTCAAAAACTTTTCTGTGAAATGGCAACTTTGGGTACAAGTTGTAAGATAAAAATATATTTTTAGAGAAAGGCTCATTTCCTACAGTAAACAGAGGAAGAGCTGACTACTTATAGACTGCACTCAAGGGCTGTAGCATCTCCATCTTTGAGTTGGTTTCAGTATTAGAATAAAGTATCACTTCCAAGTTTCAAAAGATGGTTCAGAATGGTGAACTGACGTGAAGTATGAAGTTCACTCCATAGCAGGTCTTAAGGATCCAGACAAGCTGGAAGAATAGTGCGTTTAATAACATGTTATAAGGGAATGTACTTTTCATGTTTCTGAAGTATGAAAGAATTTGCACACTAAAAAGTTTTTTCTAAAGGTAGAACGTGAGGAAAAAATGAAAAGATATATATAAAATCCTGCAGAAGTCAAAAAAAGGTAGCACGGTGCATTCCTGTCTCAACAACAAAAATAAAAATCCAGGAATGGTGGTATACACCTATAGTCCCAGCACTTGAGAGGCTGAGGCAGGATGATAGCCAGAAGTTCAAGGCCAGCCTGAGCTACAAAGTGAGTTTGTAGGGAGACCCAGTCTCAAAAACAAACAAACAAGCAAACTCCAAAAACTAGAAACCAGAAAGGTAGTTAGACTGCTAACTCTACCACAGGGATGAGAAAACGATGGCCACCTATGCATGACCTCTTTAGTATGGCCAGTGGACTAGGAATTGTTTTCATGTGGTTAAAAAGCAGTGAATAAAGAATAAATAACAAATATGTGCTGTCCTTAAAGCTTAAACTGTCTACTAGCTGGAGCTTTACAGAAAAAGACTGCCAACTTCTGGTCTATCCCGTCCTGGGAATGGCCCATGCTCATGTCTTATGAATGAATCTGGCTTAGAACTCTGATGAAATACTGGCTTCAGTTAGGCTTACCTGTTGTCTGCAGGACTGAGCTTACTAAGAGGCAAGATTTATAAATACACATTGCTGATCATACCAACTGGCAAGATTGATAAAAAATACTTCATTTCTATACAATGTCAACTTTTGATGCCTAGTCTGTTTTATAAAACAGGAGAATACTGTAGAATCCATGAAAATACATTTGTCAATATCCTCTTGATATGAGAGGGAAAATTTATTTTACACTCAAAGAATTTCAATTACCCTCAATTCGTCCTGGTTTGCATGGATTACAAGGTACACAATAGCCCTTCTGGTCTTTACAATAAAGTAAGGACTTGGCAATGAATTGTTAGTCTAACAGCCCAGATAGACTCAGCCCAGATAGTCTATCAGCCCAGATAAGACTCAGAACATGAAGAAACAAATCACCCTTCCAAATGATAAGTAGAATGAGCTAAAGTAATACAAGACTACCTATACTTCTAAAAATTCTCATACACTAAGAACACAAATATGAGCGCTTACTCGATCAATATTACTTCATCTTTCTAAAATTGATCTTGTTGAGATTGAGCTAGTCCCCCACACCCCGCCTCCTCCACCATGCTTATTATAAACAGCATATGTACTTACACCACAGATGTGACGTTGTTGGCCAAAGAACTTTCATAGTACGGGATGCCTTTACTAATTACAACACTGATTTGGCCACCCAACACATTGGACACTACTCCTGCATGTATACCAGCCACACATAATGGTGAGGACTTGAGGAAGGGAAAAAGAAAATACAAGTTTGAATTTTCTTTTGATATTTATAATCAAAACACTTCTACTTCCTCAAGAAATCAGTTGATTTGGCTTTTCTGATTAGAGTACTGATGCCATAATGATTTTGCAGAAGAAAAAAAAAAAAACACTGCCTATTATGAAAAAGAAATGTAACAAATACACATCTAAATACTCCAGAGTTTTTAAAATAGCTACATTACAATTTTAAAGTAAGTCTGTGTCCAACTTACATCTCTATATCCATGAGGAATTGTTCCAGATATCTCAGCAAAAGGAAGGAGACAACCAGGTGGGCAGTACTTACTGAGAAATGGAAATAAGTAAAAACTTATATAATGTTGCACTTTCTGGGGAAAAGCAAAACATATCACACATACATTTTTCAACTCAATGTAACTAACTTGCATAATATCATCACCCTAAAAGGAATCACTTCAAAAAGCCTCTTAAGACTTTTTTCCATCCACAAATTTTCAACATCTCTTAAGCCACATATTTACAAGAATCTCACAGTCTCCATATTGCTTTATTTTACTTCATAATGAATGGCATACATATTTCTATTATAAAATCTATTCATTATATTCTCCAGACTTACAGGAGGAATGTCTATTATGTAGTCTGCTGAGTGTCTGGTTGGGCTGGGTACTAAGTTTAAAAAGGTCAACCAAACAAATATGACTCTTGTCATCAGTAAGTTTATACTTTAGCAGTAAAAAAAGACATTAAACCAATATGTAAGTATTTAGATTTTGATTCTGTCATAAAGAAAAGGCACCTTAACGTAACTGGGAAAACTCTAATTTAATAAAAGTAATATGAACACTTAGTTTAAATGTGCTAGACAACAATCTTAAATATTTCAGCCAATTCACACAAAAATCCTGTGGACTCATTTTACAGGTAAGGCTAATGAACAACAATGTGCCCCTAACATAGAGGATGATCTCTACGGACTCTACACAGGGCTCTGCATAGTCTCGGTCAAGGAACAGGGGTGGGTACGTGGGCTGCCAGATGTCACTGGAACAAGTGGTAGAAATGCACACCAATCATGACAAAGAGTGTATCTCTGAGGCAGGACAGGTGGCAGGTGGCTATGAGTGTAAAAGAACATTGCAGGTAGAGTACACTGAGCACAAGCAAAGTCAGAGGGATGGAAAGGGCCTAGATCATACAAAAGCCCTGTAGGAAAAGACTATGGGATTATTTCTAAGTAAAATACAGAGTTCAGTAAAGGAATTTGGCAGTCTACATATGTACATGATTAATGTAACATATGTGTGCTCATGTTTTCCTTTATGTACTAAACATGATTATTCTGGCTCCTAGGTGGGTAAAAACGGATAAGGAATCATGAGTGGAGGCTGGGAAGATAGAGCAGTAGCCCCACAGACAGCAGTTTGGGTTTGAGTGATGATGATGGAGTGAAGGGTAGAAAGGGGAGCCAGCTGATGCCATGGTTAAAGTTATTCCTGCTAACCACGCTCCCCTGATGCAGAAGAAGATATTCGTTCCAGACAGAGAACACTCTCGAAGATAAATTATGGTTCTTTGGGAGAAGTAGCAAGTTGAAAGGAGGCTAGTGAAATGGATTTTGAAAGATGAGAAGGAGAGTGCCAAGCAAACCACTGTACAGAGGTACTGAGCAAGAGTTCTGATAGTTCACAGCAGTGTAAATCACAGTGCGTGCAGATGAGATCAGAAAAATGGTCCAGGGCCTACTCATGAAAGATTGACTATGAAATAATTCTGAACCACTTACCACAATCAGGGGTTTCTCAACATTTTTAAGAAGAGAAATGATCAGTATACATTTTTAAAAGCTACTTGGCAGTAGCATAAATTAAGATATTGGAGATCAGTTAAACAGTAATCCTAATCTAGGCAAGAGACAAAGGTATAAAGCATAGGAACAGTAAAAGAAATGCTACTTGGGTAAGAACGCTGAAGAATTCAGCCTCCACCATTCCCCCACCTTTCTTGTTAAAAAAAAAAAAAGATGGAGAAACAGCTTTGCTATTCATAGTAACAATTTTGTCAGATTTTACACAGCAACAGGTTCTACTTTTAAGGCATTTAAAAATTAGACTTTCATTTTGGAGATCTAAATGTTACAGTTAAAGCAGAATTTAAATATGGCAACTAAATGTTCAGGTTTAAATTGTCTCTAATTTATTAAAAAGTCCCAAATCAATGATTGTTTCACGCATTATATATTAACCTTCAGTATAACACAATGAAAAGTAGATTACGAGAAACATCTAAGTACACACATACAAGTCATAAATTTGGCCATACCTGAACTCAGGTTCCAAAAAGTTGGATGCAATGTCCAAACAAGTAATTAGATCTAGAAAAACAAAAAAGTGAATTCTATAATACACAGACTTACTGCTCTTGCTAAAATACCAAATACGATAGAATCTCAAAATGTATGGATATAAATTACAAAATCTCAACAGTACTGAAAATGTTACAAATCTGTGTTCATCATAACTTCTTTCTCATTTCATAGGTCTTAAGTTCTGGAGCTAAGATTGCTTCCAATACTTGAGTTTCTCAATGCTGCTTTCTACTGTATTCCCTCCTAGAAAAGGAGGATACCCATACACCAAACAAAATCTGCATGTGCTGCAAAAGGTTCTATGTAATATAGCTCCCAAAGTATTTCAAATATTATGACTAAATGATCCCTTACTGTTTATGCACAAAGAAAACAATGAGTTACAATGAATAACAAAAAGTTACTTTTGAACCTCTGATTTCTAATCAAAATTCCCAACACCTCCTCACAACTTAGAAGATGCTGGACTCATCTTGACTTTCAGATCTCTGAAGGAGCCTCCAAAATCTGTTTTATAAATTCTTCTAGGTTATTCTTAAAAAATTTAAATTGGTGAAGTACTGCTCTAAATAAAACATAAATTTTAAAATTTAACATTATCTAGACATCAGTATTTCTGAGTAAGAGATTAGACATCAGTACTGAGTAAGAGGCAGCCAGCCTTCAACTGAGACCTAATTCCTGATCCATATAAATAAAACACAACCTTGAATTTTTAAAACTCAATGGCTTGTTAGGAAAGAAAACAAAGTCCTTTAGTGTAGCTTATATAGAGTCTCGAAGTATCTGGCTCCACCTTACTCTCAACTCTGGTTTTGCCATCTTCTGGATTCCCTGGCACAAGATACTCTGTCAGCCAGGAAGGTGTTTCTGCTACCGATGCATCACCCAGATGAATCTAAGATTGCAACTTAAGTAAATGTCTCTTCCTCACAGTCACTGACCTTCACAAGTCAAACCCCTTTAGCATATAGCACACAATTATGTTTTATTTGCTTTAATGAACAGATGATTATTCTATGTTCTCTGAGTATATGTTACATTAATTGATGGAAATACACCGTTTCTAAGATGATAGCGAGTAATCTATTAACTGGTGATAGCATACTGTTTTTTGTTATTTTGCTTTTCTGTAGTTCTGAATTACTTGTACCCTTACACTGTTTTGTTTTGTTCTGCTATTTTTCTCTTTTTCCTTTTAAATAAAATATTTTTTTAAAAAAAAGAGTTTACAGTTACATCTTTTTTATAATAGCTATTCTCTGCACAAAGGCTGACACTGTTTCTTTGCCTTTGTACTGTGAGCAGCAATTATAGCGCAGCACACAGTCAAGAAGCTTTTATTATTAAACTAATGGCAAAGTTATCATTTATTAATGCTTAGAGAGGAAAATCTGGACAAAGACCTGAAGGCAATAACAAAAATAGGTGATTTCACACACACACAGTTGGCTCAAGAACCACATCCAAGGGGCCAATACACTGAGGAAGAAGATCGCATACCTAGCATTTTTCTTACCACACTGCCAGCATAGAAATATGTTACATTAATGGCCTCCCATCTATCTTACAGGAAATTAATGTTCCATTCCTTTGAAGTACATTAATTTACTATTCAACTGAAACGTATCTTTTTTTTAAGATAGGGTCTTGCTATGTAGTTCATGCTAGCCTTCGTTCACTGTGATCCTCCTGCCTCAGCTTCCCAAGTGCTGGGATTACAGGTGCATGTCACCATGCCTACCTTCAACTGAAATGTAGCTTTAAAAAACCAGAGCATAGGAGCTAGAGATATAGCTCAGTGGCATAATGATCTGCCTGGCAAGTGCAAGGTCCTGAGTTGAGTCCCAGTACCAAAAAGTACAGCATAGTAATTGTTACACTAATAGGAAAATAATATTTTGAGAGCAACTGTATACATCAATATGTATATACCACAGATATTTTCATAAATAAGATAAATCTATCTTTCAGAAGTTTAAGAGGATACGAGCTTGGACAAGAGTTCATTTCTACTTAGTTGACCTACTGAAAAAGTAGACACATAAACAGAATTAGCTGTACTCTACAATTATTCCTGTCAATCTTTGCACAGTATCAATGAGAACTTTTCCACTTTTCTTATGCATCAAAAGATTTTTCAACTTCTAAGATTAGATGTCCAGCTTGTGAGATTAATATCCCAAAACGAAAAGGTGTATGTGTGTGATCCCGTATGGCATTTAAGTCACAAGATGACTACCAACTAACCCCATTACCTTCAACCCACATGCCAAAAAACTAGTCAACAAAGGATATAATTTGATCAGAACAGCACTTTAGTTGTTAGCTCATGCAGTGCTTACAGTGCACTCACTGTATGGCATGCAAATATGAAACTAAATGACCTCACTCAAATTCCACCAGGCTTGAAAGGTGACCTTAGGCTGCAAATAAAGCCAAAAGGACAGATTGAAGACAGGGAAAAAGAAGCTGTAAGAAAATATTTTGACATTTACAATTCCACAAAGGCAAGTAACACATTAAGCAGAAAATAAGACATTATGTGACTTTTTAGAAAACTTTTCCCAAGTAAACAGCCCAGTCTTCCAGAAAATTTGTTACTGTAGCACTCCAAGCTAGTAAGAACCTCCAGAGAAGATAAACACAGCTCAGAAGAAACCATCTGTTTCAGAAACTCCAGATAGCTATGAATAAGATGTTAACATAATGAAGGAGTGGAATCAAACATTCTGGAGTCTAGAAATAAGCCCTCCAATGTACAGTCAATTAAATTCTGATAAAAGAGTCTAGACACTTCAGCTGGGGAGGGAGCTGGAGGTGTGTGTGAGGCATAACAAAGATATGGGGACAACTTAATATCCATATACAAAAGAATAAAATGGGTTACCTGTCACATGGCCAATTCAAAAATTAACTCAAAGTGAATCTAAATTTAAGAACTAAAACTAAAGGCCTTTCATAGAATCATTTTCAAAATGACTTTGAATTTTTATTTGCATCCTGAAGCCATGTTTCAAGCCCACCAGAATTTGGGAGCAAGGTTAACTGAGTAAATCTTGACCTTAGATTAGGCAGTGTTTTATTATGATGAGAAATGCACAAGCAACCAAATAAAAAGATTCAAGTTCATCAAAATTAAGAATTTTTGTGCCGCAAAGACACGGGAAGAGAAAGCCAACCCACAGAATGGATAAAAATATTTGTAAATCATGCATTTGGTGAAGGTCTAGAATACAGAGTATTTAAGATGTAACATTAAAAAAGCCCAATGTGTATACAAATAATAGAATATTATTTGTTCATAAAAAGGAATGAAGTACTGATAAGTGCTATAATGTGGATGAATTTTGAAAACATGGGACAATGAAAGAAGTCAATCATTAAAGACCACATATTGTATGATCCATTATGAAATGTTCAAAGTAAGCAAACTGCAGAGACAAATGTAGATCAGGAGCTACTTAGGACTGGAGACAATCAGGGAGGGACAAATAGAAATGACTGCTACTGATTATGTAGCTTCTTTTGAGGTGATGAAAGTATTGTAAAACTGTGCTAATGACTGCAAAGCTCTGAATACACTGAAAATTCAGTGAAGTGTATACTCTATAAGAAATATGATGAGTTATGTGTTAACACAATTGTTATAAAATTAAAATAAAGCCTAATAGAAATAATAATCACTACCTTTCGTATCTACATAGATGGATTTAAAAAAAAAAAAAAGTCCTGTCAGGACTGGCAGTTCATTCAATTATTCATTCAACAAAAACATAATAAGCATATATTATGATGAGGTATTGTTCTAGGTTCTACAAATAAAACAAAGAAAATGAGACAAAAGTTCATGAACATGGGCGAATAATTCCAATGGAGATAAGAAAAAAACAGGCAATATTACTAAGTGAAATACGGAATGCTGGAAGGTGATAAGTACTCAGAAAAATAGAATGGTTAGAAAAATTTAAGGACTGGCAATATTAAGTAATGTGGTTCGGTATACTTTTAGGAAAAGTAATATTTAAAAAAAAAAAAAAACCCTCCGGAATAGATGATAGAGAGAGGCATGAGATGTGTGGCTCTGAATATAAACACTGAAAATCAGAAAGGCTCCTGGAAGCATACCAGGAATGTTTGAGGCCAACATGGAAAAGGAGAAGACAAGATGAAGTTAAACAAGAAACTGGAAGCAACACCGAATCCTATGGGTCTTGGAGGTAAAGTAAAGGTATGTGGCAAAGCAAGATAGGATTTTCATTTCAGAAAGATCACGGTGACTTCTGAAACTAGACTGACGGGAGAAAGGATCAGAAACAAAGATCAATAAGCCATTTATTGTTGTAACTGAGGTAAAAATTGATGGTAACTTCAACTAGAAAACAGTGGAGCTGCTGAGATGTAGTTATATCCTGACGCATGTATATATACATCCTGAAAAGTGCAAATGCCTATGAATTTCAGCAAACGAGGAGTCAGAGATAATGGTCAGATAGCCGGAGCAACTTAAAAGATGAATATGTAAGTGCTTATATTATAATAAATATAGATAATCCAACCAATTACCACGCTGAATCCAGTTAAACATATCCTGTAATACCAGAACTTGGTGATATGTTCAAAATGCAGGGCAGTATGTAATATAATTCTTCACTGAGAAAGTCTCTGTATAGGACTTTTCTCTCTTTACTAATTTTAGTCTAATACTCAACACATTCAAAAGACTACAGTATGTATGTTATTACATAAAACATTGTTATGGATTAAAAACTGGTGGTCAACTAACACCAACTGTCATGGTTTATGCCTGTGGCTCCCAGGCCTCATGTGTTTGCATTGTACTTTTGTGACTGCTTCATGTCTAGCACTTAGATTGATGGTGTCAGTGCTACACCCACCTAGGAGTGGAGCCAGTATACAATATAATGACAAACAAAACAGGTGCATCTTTTTCTCTCTTGCCGGTTTCCGCCTTGCCGTTTGCAGCCGTCATAAACTGTGGCCCC